TATTTCCCCTTTCTTTCTCTCTCCTTCCTCTTTTCTTCCCGTGCGTCAATTTAATTCCATCCTTTATTTTTCTTCAAGTTGATTTCCGGCCGCGTCTCGTTTCGTGTCACAATGCCACAATGAGGGTGGGGCCTGTTTTTGTTTCACACCGTATGAAAGAGAGTGCACAAACAACACCATCTCTCTCTCTCTCTCTCTCTCTCTCTCTCTCTCTCTCTCTCTCTCTCTCTCTCTCTCTCTCTCTCTCTCTCTCTCTCTCTCCGTCAACCTGCAACGGCATCGAAAGCGTGGGCGGAGAGAGCGGCGTGGGGGGTGGGGGGTGCTTTTCAGGAGAGTTCTTCTCAAGTGGACTAACAAGGCCACACGTCCACACACAACTCAAACCCCTGACGAGGCGGGCCCCGCCAGGGCCGGGCCAGGGCCCTGCCAGGGGTGGCCGCCGAGCCGCTCCCAGCCTGACAGTTCATTAAGGCAACAGGGAAGAACGGGACGCCTACACTGTAAAAAATGTGAAAAAACTAAAAAAAAATGGAAATTCCTGAAAACATTTGTTGGGGCGGCAAATATTGGGCTCTGAGTTTTGGGGAAATTCCGAAACCTCCAATGACGTTCTTCGAAGCTCTCGTGCCCGCCTGCGCTGTCTTCAGCGACCTCGTCCACGCCACCTGATTCAGAGAAACCATATGCATGTGCGCAGACAGACATGCAGATGGCCATCCGGACAGGGCGACATGCACATGCACATGCACATGCAGCGCGCGCGCACACACACACACCGCACACGCGCGCACGCACACACACACACACACGCTGGGAGAGAGAGGCAGGCGGCTAGCATTTAGCGGGGTGACCTTTGACGCTATCGGGGCCTAAGCCAGGAGGGGACAGCCTCCACGCGACGCCGTCATCTCAAATTCAGATGGGGTCGCGGGGCACGTGGACAACGCGGACGAACGCGGACGACGCGGACGGTGTGGACCGTCCCGAAATCAATACCAAGTTACGGAGTGGGGCAGCAGGTGAGGAGGGAGATAGAGAGAGAAAGAGGCAAAAAGGCAAAGGGCGACACACGTTCCGGCGTGACGCGGAAGGGAGAAAGAAGGGACTCTGGATGAGGGCGACCAAAGGCGGGTCCCTTTGTTCTTAAGCACGTCCCGCGAGAACCACTGCGTCCTCGGGGAGCCCCAGGGAGCCCCAGGGAGCCCCAGGGAGCCCCAGGGAGCCCCAGGGAGCCCCAGGGAGCCCCAGGGAGCCCCAGGGAGCCCCAGGGAGCCCCAGGGAGCCCCCAGGGAGCCCCCAGGGTGGGCGGCCACATCGAGCACGTCACCGCAAACAGGTGTCAGCAGCCACCAGTCAAAAGGGGAGCCGCGACAAAAACGGACTGTTGTGACGTTTCCAGTGGACAGGTGACTTTGTTTTTATTTATTTCATCACGGATTTTCTGGTCAACTCTTTAATTGCTCTCCAACCCCCAACAATTTTGTTTCTTTTTTGTTTAGTTTTTATTTTTTTGTTTTTCTTAGGTGACAGGTCTTAAGCCACCCCTAGAGATGGAAGGGCAACGTGAGCCTGCTGCCAGCGAGGGGCGCCGACGAGTGGCTGCCAGCCCCGCCTGCCCCGCCAGCCCGTCTGCCAGGCTGGACAACCTGTTGGGGACAACGAGTTGAAGAACAAAGTTTGAGAACGGGGAGGGGGGCGAGGAGGCCCCAAGATAAGGCGCAGGGGCGCGCAGGGGGAGGCGAGAACCAAGTTTGTATGTCTTGCCGGCCCAGAGGAGGGGCGACGCAGAGCGACGCACAGTGAAGGTCTCGGATGAAAAAGAGGGGGGAGGGGGCACCCTGGGAAACTTCCGGGGGGGGGGGGCAAGCAAGCCTCAAGGCGAGTGCAGGGCGGTGGAAACCGAGGCGGATTGTGGCGAAAAAAGAAGCCCTGTTCGCGCTGCCGCTGTCAAACCGAACCGATCGGCCGTCCGTCCGTCCGTCCGCCTCGGTCCGCCTGGCCGCGGGGTGGGGTCCACCTGCCTGCGCTAAAACGGTCCCACTGACCCAACCTCAGCCATGCACGCCCAGAGCCGCCCGGCCAGGCAGGGCCCCATGCCGGCCAGGGCCCCATGGGGGGCAGCCCAGGCAAGCCTACCGCGACGCACCAGCCGGCCTTTGCTGAAGCCCCACACAGAGGGATGGCCGGCTAAGGGGAAAAGACACAAAGCACCAATTATTCACGTCCGCCGACTTTGGTTCAAATCCCCGGCATTTTTTTTTTCGCCGCGGAGTCGCCGCGCAATTCTCCGCCATTCCCGTGCTGCGCCACCCGATAGTCGGCCTGGGCGCGAACCTCGGGCAGATCCAATCGAATCCGGTCACAATCCTCTCGACTAACGAGAGCGAGAGAGACGGACAGGCCGCAGGGCGAGGCGGTGTAGGCCCGTCCAGCTTACGAGGACCCTTGCGCTACAGCCGGGAGCCCACTAGGCAAATAGGCTCGATTGCCTCCCAGGCAGTGGCTCACGGTTCCGGGCCAAGACACTGGAAAAGAAAGGGGTTCTCCAGTCTGGTCCCCGCGGCCCAGTCAGTTCCATCGAACACGTGCATCGCAAAGCCGCGGTAAGCAGGCAAAGCCACCAACCTGGCTCAACCGCAATCTCAATCCCAAAGTCATTTTCGGAGCCCCGCCATAACAAGATTAAGAGTCACGCATAACATCCGTTATGTTAATTCAATCGCGACGATCCAAATAACTCACTGGGACCGCGGCGACAAAGGCCTTCATTTCCATCTCCAGAGCGCACGCAAACAAACACACACACACAACACACACTCCAGGCAGTGGGAATCGAACAACATCCACTCCACGAAATTGTTATCGACAAAATTCAGATCGGGAGCCTTCAATGCAACCATTCCTTTCACTGAAAACCCCACACCCCTACGACCCCACCTCTTCCTCCACAATGCCACCACCTCCGACGATCCCACCCTCTGATCGCGCCCCTGGTCAAGGCGAGCCTGATTTCGGACAGAGTTTTCATCGGCCTGTCTCTCTCGCGCCCCCACAGGACGCCCCGTGAGAGGGTGCTGGCAGTGTGCTTGCTTCCTTCCGCCGGGGAAGCCCCAGCCGCCCCAGCAGCCCCAACGTGGGCCGCGCAGGCGATAGGCAACGAGTACCGAAGTAGCGGGCGATGGAGCGATAGAGGCCGGCCAGACGACGGTGACGTATAGTCGGCCGACTCGGCCCCTTCCCTCTCTCTCTTCCTCTCCAGTTTTTTCCCGCGTCGCCCCGTCTCTCTCTCGCACCCACTCAGCCCCACTGCCGCCGCGCCGTAATATTTCATGTTTGTTTTTCTGCGCCGAAAACAGCGCCACTTGAGTACACACCCCATTTGGGTCAGTTGGAGGGCTGACAATCCGTCAAGCGGCAGGGCGCGGGTTCGAAACTCGGTTCAAACTTTCTTTCCCGCGGCCTTGGGGCGCTGGCGGCGCGGCCGGGGAGGCGATGCGGGACGTCCCCAACTTTATTTTATTACGCGCGCGGCCCCGTCGAGCGGGCCGTTTCCGGCGACCTTTTCTCTCCATATTTGGCGGGATAAAAATAAATCTCGCCGGCGGCCGGACTCGAACCCGCGTCAGGTTCGACGACCCGCGGGCCGGCGATAAGGAAGGGCCTGTTACCTGGCGCCTTATCACTCTGGGGCCGGCCGCCTGGGCCACGGCGCCAAGCCCTCCCTCCACGCACAGTGGGCCAGAAGACCGGTGGAGGCGGCCAAAACTCTAGACGCATGAAGAGCTCCAGAGTCGCTATACGTGACTCGAACCGAGCGTGTGACCCACCAATGGACAGCTCTCCGAACGAGGAATCCATTGGTGGGGTCACACTGTTCGGATCGAGTCCCATTCAGCGACACAGCTCAAATCGCGTGTAGAGTTTTGGCCGCCTCCACCGGTCTTCTGGCCCACCGTGCGGCGTCGACCGCAGCCAAATAATGCAGCACGTCGTTTTTCTTCGCCGACCAACCGCCGCCCTGCCTCTGACGGCGCCCTGGCAGTCCTGGCTCTGACGGCGACCTGGCCGCAGGGCACCGCGGGGCCGCGGCTTGTGTTGGAGCGCTGCCACCGCCGCGCGCGCCGCCACAGACGAACGGCGGCACGCCGTCAACCTGCCTCCTTGTTTTCCAATTAGACAAAACGCTGCGGTTTTCTCTGTTTTTGTTTCGGCAGCGGGAAAGTTGGCGGCGGTGGCACGCTCGCTCTCTGACGTCCTGCCGGCAGTGTGCCGCCGGGTCGAGGCGGTCGAGGACTTCCCTAGACCGCTATCCCAGTACCGGTCGCGCCGCCGACTCTGCACATGCATATGCAAATGAGGCAGTGCAGGTTGCACTTCGCACGACCCAGGTGCGCCCAGAGTGGGGCCAGCCAGGCCCGCCAGGCCAGCCAGGCGAGAGAGGTACCTGGCAACCTGGACTTTTTTATTTCTACTCATTGGCGGCACTGCTGATTACCATTGGGCCGAGCCAGGACCGCTAGGTCGTCGAGGTTCTGTCAGGCCGTCCGCGGTCTATCCGACTGTCCAAGCGTCCTTGCGTCCATCCGCCCCTCTGTCTGTCTGTCTGTCTGTCTGTCTGTCTGTCTGTCCGACGGCCCGGTGGCCGCGGGGCAACGCGACAACGCTGTACGGATGACACACTGGCGCGGCACCGGCAGGCTGCACGGCACGGCGCGGCCGTCGCACGACAACAACAGTCCACGCGGCCGGGCGGCCCGGGCCCGGCTCGGCGCGGCCACTGCAGCTGGCCCGGCTGCGCTGCTGCTCGGCTCGCTGCGACAGCGGAGACAGCGGCCGCGGCTTCCTAACCTCAAATCGGCGAGGTGCAGCGGCCGCGGGGAGGGGGAGGGGCACACACCTGCAGCTGCACACAGCTGTGCGGAGGCATCGACGGCATGGCTCCGCGACCACGGCCTGGACCGCGTCCTCCCGCACGTGTGGCAGCACGCGTGTCGGCTTACCTTGATCGAGGAGTCGCGCCGCGTTGGGCCACTGCCCGCCGTCCAGCTTGTGTTTCTCGTCCATGAGCTCCCGGAGGTACTCGCCGGGCTTGCCCTCGGCCGAGTTGTTTCTGGGCTCGGGGCCACGCACCATGCCGTCGGCTGTCATGTCCGGGGCACTGGCACTCCCAGAGTCCAGGGTGCCGTTCGTACTCGCGGCCATGCCGACAGCCTCTCTGGGACGCGCGCTCGCGATTTGGGGCTCTGCGCGCTCTGCGCTCGCGAACTGGCACGGGGAAGTCTCAGTCTCGGACACGCGACCGCACGCGACCTCGGCTCCGCACACAATACACGCGAGTCCGCTCCGCTCCGCTTCGCGCAGCAGCAGCAGAGCAGCGCAGGAGCCAGCAGGCCAGACCCCCCCTGTGCTCAGTACCGCCCCTCGCGGAAGTGGTTGCCGCCAGCGGCCGCGAGAGGGCGCCACTGCAGCCTGCGCGATGCCAACCGCGCCGCGATTAGGAAAGGAACGAGCGATGAGTTTATCGAAAACTGGGCAGTAAATTACAGCTAATCGCTGAATCGGGACGTAACGGACGGGCCCACTGCCACCGGTGGCACTGACACAGCCTGGAAACGCACTGCTTCCACGAAGAAAAGTGCGCTCCACCGGACGACTACTCGCAGGGAACCTATCCTGCGAATAAGCGAATCCCCGCGACTTTCGGATTGTTGTTGTTTGTTTATTGTTTACCCTGCTTTCCGCATCGCGAAGGCGTTCTGTGTTTGAAGTCACTTCGCTTCACCGGTTCTCGTCACAGACACACCATGGGAATTTTGGGGCTCTCAAAGCTCATTGCTGACATTGCGCCGCTAGCTGTCAAAGAAAATGAAATCAAGAACTTTTTCGGTAGGCAGCGAAGCATTGAATGAGGAGGTTATGTGGCTGCTCTTCTGAGACTTGTTTTCGCTCATTCTTAAGTCTCTTTTTAATTTTCATTGTTTGCTAGAATTTCCTAGAACTTCATGATGTAATATTCCTCTTGTAGCTGTGTTGAATAATTTGTTGTTTTATATTGTTTCAGGTCGCAAAGTGGCGATTGATGCTTCAATGAGCTTGTATCAATTTCTTATTGCTGTAAGAAGTGAAGGTGCACAGCTAACGGATGCAGCAGGGGAAACAACAAGGTGCGTCTTATTCTGCATTAAATTTTAATCAAAATAATGAGTACTTTGTTCAAATTGTGTAATTTGGATGCAGTCACTTGATGGGAACCTTCTACCGAACTATACGTCTCATTGAAAATGGCATCAAACCTGTCTATGTCTTTGATGGAAAGCCTCCAGAAATGAAGTCTGGAGAATTGAACAAACGAGCAGAAAAAAGAGAAGAGGCTCAAAAGTCATTGCAACAAGCTGAGGAAGCAGGTATGGCACCCTTTCAGTTGAATATTTTTTCATTAATCTGTACCAAACTTCTTGCCCATGCAAATATCTATGCATGTATCATCTTTCTCTCCAGGTGACACAGAAAACATTGATAAATTCAACCGCAGGCTTGTAAAAGTGTTGCCTATCCATAATGAACAATGCAAGAATCTACTCAAGCTTATGGGTGTCCCCTACATTGATGTAAGTCCTACTGCATTCTTTCGATTTTAGACACAACATTTTCTAAAAGAAAGATTCCTTATTTTTTTTCAAACTTTAGGCACCTTGTGAAGCAGAGGCTCAGTGTGCTGCTTTGGTGAAGTCTGGAAAAGTTTATGCAACAGCAACAGAAGATATGGATGCCCTAACTTTTGGCTCTTCCGTCCTGCTGCGTCACATGACATTCAGTGAAGCCCGCAAAATGCCTATCCAAGAATTCCACCTAAGTAAAGTGCTTGAAGAATTAGAACTGACTCACAGTGAATTCATAGACTTGTGTATTTTACTGGGCTGTGATTACTGTGACAGTATTCGTGGCATAGGTCCAAAAAGAGCCATTGACCTTATTAAACAGCACAGAAACATTGAGACTATTATAAAAAACTTGGACCTTAAAAAGTACTCCCTCCCCGAAAACTGGCCATTCCAGGAGGCACGTAGGCTTTTTATGGAGCCTCAAGTTGCAGATCCTGAAACACTTCAGGTAACTTTTAACTGTGATTTGTCTTTTAAGAGTATCTTACCATGTATTGTACTCAAGGTTATTGTTGTTATTTACAGTTAAAGTGGACCGATCCTGATGAAGAGGCCCTTGTCAAATACTTGTGTGGGGACAAAAACTTCAATGAGGAAAGAGTCCGAAATGGTGCCAAAAAACTTGCCAAGGCCAGAACAGGCACTACTCAGGGTCGGTTGGATTCTTTTTTCAAGGTGTTGCCAAGCCCCAGTGCTGGTCAAAAGAGGAAGGTATGTAAATATTATTTATATTCAGTGCTTTATTCATTGCTCCGTGCTTATTTCACTTTCGTTTTTCAGTCTGAAGACAGCAAGACTACTGCAGCAGCTGGCAAAAAAGGGAAGAAAGGAGGTGGTGGTTTCAAAGGGAAACCAAAGTAGTATTTCAAATCGAATGAAAAGTCAGCTGGTTATTTCCATTAGAGTTTAAGTTTGATTGTTTCACCTTTGTTTGACAAATGTCTTCTTCTCCATGTGAGTGAAAGATGCTGAATTTTGTTGTATTGGTTGTTAAAAATGGCTTCAGGTATCAATTTTATTATATTAGAGCCAACAATAAATTTCTTCTTGTTTTCTTCTGAAAATTTGACGCGTTGTTTCTTGTTCCGTTCGCCTCTTGGTACCTACGTCAGCTCAGGTTGCCTGCCCTTTGGCCATTCGAGCGCGGGCCCCGCGGCCCTTCAGCCAAGCCCTCGGCTTCCCTCGGCGCTATCGAAGGGACGTCGCTCCCGACAGGGAATGCCTCCATCAGCCGAGGGATAGGCCGGATAGGATAGCGATGGCTCAATGACCCCAGAAGTCAGATTCCGAACAGTGCTTCGTCGCTCTGTCTCTCTCGCACTGTTGGGGCGCCCCGAAGGGCGCGACAGGGACAGCATTGTCGGGGACGTCAATCCTAGTTACTCTCGGTCTGCTGATGCGTGCGCGATGCGCGGGGGAAGTACTGGCACGGGACAGGCTGCCTCAAGTTCGATTAGAAAGCTGGAAAGCTGTCATCGCTCGCCGAACACTGCACACACGACAGCCCAGCCGGCTTGCCGGGAACCGCCTTGCGAGAACGGGCTAGGCAGTGCCGCCCGGCAGCCATGCAGGTTGGGTTGCCTACCCTGGACGACAGCAGGCTGACAGCAACAGGAGGGGCGGCAAATCTTTGACGGTGTTTATGTTCGCGCCGCTGCTGCGGCCCCTCGGCTCGCTCAAGGCTCAGGGCATGGACGCAGCTCAAAGGGCACCAAAGGGCCTGGGCTGGGGCAGCTGGGCTGAGGAGGGGACGAGGGTCCTGTTCTGTTCCGGGTTGTAAACATTTCTTGTGCCGGCCGGCATGGGCCGTTCCACCAGTTCCACCGAAACCAGACCGCCGCGACTCGAGTGGGCTCTGCAGCCTCTCCCCTTGCCCCTTGCCTAGGTCCCGCGCGTCTCCCATAACCCCGTCCCCTGGCGCCCCATGCCCCATACCGCTGGCCTACGCCGCCTAGCTGCATCAAGTGTTTAGGCTGGCGGCCGGCGGACCGGCCCCGGCCGGCCAGACAAGCAGTCGCTGCAGTCGCTTGGGTTGGGTCGCCCAGTCGCAGCAGCCAGTCGCCACCCCACCCCCGTCATCGCCACGCCCGGTCCCGGTGCCCGTTGCCCGTTCAGTCATTCAGTCCCAGTCTCCTCCTCAGTGCAGCGCGAGCAGTGCGAGTGGCAACGTGAGCGAGTGTCGGTGCTTCGCGGCTTGGTGGTGCTTCGTGACAAGACCGGCGAGTCGGTGTGCGGCACTCCGCCAGCCTTGCCTTCCTGACTGCAGTTGTCTTCCTCGACACCCGCCACGTGAGTCAACAAGGGCGCAGGGCAGACGATGGCCTCGAACAGGTGGTCGGCGACGCGCCGCGCGGGCCGCGGGTTGCACCGCGAGACACCGTCGGCCGTCGGCACACCGTCGCGCGAGAGCCGCTCTGTCCCTCTCGCACCCCTCCGGGACGCCCCATGGGTGCGAGAGAGACAGAGCGGCGGACCGTTCCTCCAGGTGTCTGCACGTGGGGTGTGCGGGGTATCGACGTGTTTGTTTCGAGGAAATTGGCCGGTCTTCCCCCCTGAAGTGCAACCTGTCACCCGTTTCCGTTTTCAAGTTTTTTAGCAGTGTGGCATGCAGGCGTTGCAAGCGATGCAGGCGCAGGCCGGCGCAGGCCGGCGTCCAGCCGAGTAGTTACCGCTGGCGATAAGGCGGGGCGCGGGGCCCGGCCGGCAGGGCCTCTTTCCGGAACGGCCGCTGCTATATTTGTTCGATGTCGCACACAAGAGGGCCGATTCCGAACGGCGCTTTCGTCGCTGTCTCTCTCGCACTCGCAACGTAACACAGTGGGCCAGAGGGCCGGTGGCGGCGGCCAAAACTCTACACGCGTTAAACACGTCTCGAACAGAACCCCCGCCAATGGATTCCTCGTTCGGAGAGCAGTCCATCGGCGGGGTCACACGCGCGGCTCGAGTCCTGTTTAGCGACTCTGGAGCTCAAAACGCGTCCGGGGTTTTGACCAGCCGCCCCCTACCGGTCTTCTGGCCCACTGTGCGCTGGTTCTCCGTGTGCGTTATTGCCGGTCTTTTCTTTGGGCGATAAAGTACCGAGTGTGCTTGCGGATGTTTGAGCTCGGGGTTGTTTTGTGGTGGCCGGGTGCACCACGGGGGGGGTCTCAGTAGCGAGTAGCCGACGACAGCTACTGCACACTGCACCGGCCAACAGGCGACACTAGAGGCTCGAGTTGGCATTTCGCTGGAAAATGGGGGCGACTGGAATCTGCCCCACGAGTTGCATATTGCGGCTGCTGGAAAATAAAACAAGATATATTTTTGTCTTTTGGCGCGACTGGCGACGCGACGCAGGCGTCGCGTGACCGTGAATGCAGCGCCAGCTGATTCCGAGCAGTGCCTATATCGTCGCCCTGTCTCTCTCGCCTCGGGGCGTCCCGTGTGGGAGCGAGAGAGACAGCGGGCAGGCTGGGGCAGGCGGGCCCGGTGCAGCCGGACTCCTGTTGCCGCGGGTTGGGGAAGGGGGGTGGCGTGGTGACACCCTTGCAACTGGGCAGCAAAAAACATCTTGTACAAATAAACGCCCTCTCCTGTTCCAGAACCATGAGTTGCTGCCGTGTGCTGTTCGGGCTGACCCTGGTGATAAGGACGGTGCGTATGCTGACACTTTGGCCCTCCTGCTCGATTTGGTTTGCTTTGTTGATTGTTGCACCCTTTCCTGTTGCAGGCCTTTCACTTGCTGATCGCTGGCTACGCGGCCATGGACCTCAAGGACATCTACGACCAGACCTCCGGCACCTTCAAGCAGCTCGCGCTCAAGCTGACTCGCGCCAACGAAGTGGTCATCGGTACGTCCCGCCTCTAGCGCGTCCACCCTAAGCGACCCCTCAGTTTTATTTTCACCATTTCTGCTTCAGAGTTTGAGTTCCCGCTCGGATTTTACGTCTTCTGTGGAGTGGCCCTTTTCGTGCTGTCCTGCGTCTACCCTTGGAAGGGCTCGGTAAGGCAGAACTTAAATTAATATTACCCTTTTGACGATTTTTTCATGCGTTCCCTGTTTTGACGCCTTTTTGTTTTGCAGAGCCGCAGCAGCTTGACGGTGTACGCCATCCTGCACGCTCTGTACGTGGGCATCGTCATCTACGTGGTGTTCATCCGCACCATCATCGACTTGTCCTTCCTGCGCGACGCGTACCGAGTCATGGCGACGCCCGGCCTGTTTCCTGCCAGCTTGGGTAAGGGTGCCACTCCACTTCAATTTTTTAATTTTTAAAAAATTAATTTCATTTGTTTAAAAAATAATTTAATTTTTTTTTTTAGCGCTTGACGTGCTGACCTTCATTGCTGCCGTGGCCACGTCCGGGAAGGGCGACAGCGTGGGCTCCTACGCCAGCATCTTCCCCTTGCACCGGGTGATGGTTCTTTCTCCCTCTTCGCCTCGCGTGGTGGCGTCTGTGTCGACTCTGCCACCGTACACCCAGTTCCAAAATGAGAGTGCCCCGCGAGTATGTTCCTCGGTTTTAGGTGTCTATCGTCTGTAGTTAGCGCTGACGCGGGTGGCTTGGTACCTCTCTCCACCTACCTAGAACCTATGCCGCTCTTCACCTCGCAACACCCCTTCAAGTTTTAGTGGCTCGTGTCTGGCCGCCAACTGCTTCGCTGGAGCTATGCATACCGGCCCTTGTTCCCAGCCGCCTTCGCAAGGCCTTTAGAAACCCCTTCGCACATCCTCCTAGCAATGCAGAACTTCTTAGCACCCTTCGCAGAATTCTTAGCACACCTTTTGCCAATCCTCCTAGCAAACTTTAGTTGTGACCTGTCGCTGCCTCTTACTTGCCGTGCGTCAGCCCATCGTTCCTGCATGGCTCCTTGTGATAACGCTGTGCCTGATTTTTGATTTGCAGCAGCAGAATATGGCTTAAGGTGGAGTGACGCTGCGATGAACTGACACGCGGTGTTACCGAGAATACCTCCTTGACTTGGGGCAGCCTTTTGGACGACGCTGCTGATTGCCTCCTCTCTATCCTCCAGAAGACTCACACTGAAGAACACGTCTTGCTCTAATGGGCACTGAAGCTAGTCTGTTTTTATTCGATTGATTTAGATTGACAAGGGCGAAAAGCTTTTGACAGTAATTTGGACGTTATTCATGTGACTAGTCGGAAAACTGGTGGCTCGTTTAATTTTGAGTGCCTTTTCTGGGTGTTATTATTGACTTTATCATTTTTGTGAGACGTTAATTTAGTTACGCTAGTTATAAGCTCAGAAGCAGATTCCATTGTTCTATGAATTGTTTAACTCCAGAGTTGAAGTAACTTTTTGCTTTCTCTGTAGGTTAGGAACTGCTTGTTTTGCATCAGCTTTTTTTCTTTTCATAAAATAAAATTAAGTAAACTTTTTCATAATTTTTCTGTTTTTTAATTTTTAATTGCCCTTGTAAACCATCTGTGTGACATTATGTCTGCACACACGTTCCTTAGACCGACCCAACGTCATGACAATACGCGGTCTAGCTCAGTTCTAGCTCAAAAAATAGCCATAAAACTCCTAAAGTGCACTGAGCGCGCCTCATAGGTAGGCAGCCAACCAGGCTCTGGCCCGCTCCGGTACAGTCTATGTACTTCCCCGCAGGCGCTAAGTAGTAGAGGACTTCACCGTGACACTATAGCTGTTCCTTTCGAGTCCGAGAGTATCGGTTACCTAGAAGTGACGGACCCACGGAACCTCTTGAAGCAACAAGCAGCAAGACCACCGCGTAAAAAGACGAACACTTCATGAGATCGAAAGACAGCCGGTCCGTTATTTGCAGCTGCATGCCCCTTCCGTGACCCCACCCCCACCTCCCACCTCCCCCCCTCCCCCACTTCATCCGCGTTATTGGCAGTAACCAGTTTGTTTTGATCTGATGTTCAGTCACATTCAATCGTTTCGCGATTTATGAACAGGAATAGTTAGGCACCGAAATTTGAACGACCGTGAAGTGGTTCATCTTAGACGATGACCGATGGACTATCTAGGCATACAGTTATAGACTGACAGAGAGGGAAGAACAATCGCTAGTCGCCACAAAGGTTAGGTCCACTCTTTTTGTGGTGTTTTGTCTTATGTTTGCTTCCATTTAGTGTTAACGTGACTGGTTTGTGATTCTAGATGGAAAACAAAGACGGAGATAATAGTGGCCCAGAGGATGCCACCCTGGACTCTAGCCAGACTCCTGACCCTCCTACCTCTTGTCCGTACCAAAGCAGCTCAAAAGATAGTCGCAATTCAACCAAGGAGGAGCCTCGGCTTCATACAGAAGGAGTTAGTGAATACCTCACTCACTATGAGAGAACAGGCTACACTGAAGATTCGCTTCGTCAATTTGTTGTCCTCGATGACATTGGATCGAAAGGAAAGAAGAGGAAACGGGATAATGAAGAAGGAGAAGAGGAAGGAGAGGGAGATGAAGAAGACGAAGACAGTGAGGATGAAGACGAAGACCAAGAGCAAGAAGAAAGCAATGACAGCGCTGATTCTTACTATGGTGAAACTGACAACTCAGATGTATGTGATGATGAGATTGAAATGATGCTGGAGGAAGGTTAGTTCTCAACTCAAAGCAGGCTTTATTTCTTTTGCTCGTAACACTTTAATGACTGTTATTTTCTTTTCAGGACTATCTGACAAGTACAAAGTCAAGAGACAAAAGCTGGCCAATGGGAGGTACGCCAAAAAACTGGATCCTGGTCAATTTGAAAATCGTCGTAAGTTAGTTTTGGATGGTAAGTGTTCTACTTTCAAACTGCAGTCACTTTACATTACAGCTTAATAAGAACACTATGAACACAGAAAACTCTTTTATCTTTCAGAAATCTGTACAAACCATTTTGAGATGTTGCCGGAAGGTTGGGTGCAAGTGACTCACAATACGGGTATTCCAATTTATCTTCACAAAACAACTCGAGTTTGTACCACTGCAATGCCTTACTTCTTAGGTCCAGGAAGTGCTAGAGTAAGTGAGCAGAATTCTTTCACGTCATTACAATCTTGATAAGCTGTTTTTCATTACATCTGTCTTTTATGTACAGAAACACAAGGTTCCTATTAGTGCTATTCCATGTCTGCAATATCGCAAGGCATTAGATCAAGAAAAAGGTCTTCAGACGGACAAAGCTGATGGGGAAGGCAGCCTAAGTCCTATTGCTGAAGTTGAAACTGATCCCAACAAGGAAGGTGTTATCGGTACAAATGAACAGGAAATCACCATTAAGGATGAGAAGGATGCTAACAAGGAGAATAAGGACCAAGATCAAAATGCAGATGGCCCTAGTGCCAACAAAACCATTGGTAGGATTTGTGTAACCAGTATACAAGTACCACACACCAGAAGAGACCTGAAATATGTTTTTTCTCATTGTAGGTGAATTAGCCTCAGCCAGGAAACCAGGGAACCCAGTATTGCCTGCTGCACGCATAGAAACTGCCAAAGAAAATGCTGATGCTGTCAACATGAGTCATGTAGAATTACGTGAATATTGCCAGAGGCTCTTTAGGTTCAAGACAATTGAAGTCATGAGATTTAAGTAAGTGTGCTGATTAGTTGACTCTCAAGTGAGGCGCACATGATGTTCAACCAATCGATTTGTATTTTAGGACATGGGCAGAACGAAGAAAGTTTGCAAAGGTGAAGAAGAAAGAAAGACAGCTTCAGAGGCCTTCTCTTCCAGAAGGGACCAAATTGATTACGTTCCCAATTATAGAAGGAGGTAAGTAAATGAGTTTTTAAAAAAAGCATAAATATTAGTAAATTTTAACATAATTATCAAATTTTGTTAAAAAAAAAAAAATTCCAGGTGAAGCAGGCTCTGGGGGAAGAACTAAGAAGGAATGGATCATGAACCCAAATGGTAAAAGCTATGTTTGCATACTCCATGAATATGTGCAACATGCTCTCAAGAAGCAGCCTGTGTATGAATTCAAAGATCTTGGTAAGTTTTCATATTTTGTCTCTCTTTACTCTTGAACCATACTTCCTTTACTTATGCTGATCTTGGTCCCAATAGAAAATCCAGCTACTCCCTACTCTGCTACTGTTTCCATAAATAAAATGAAGTATGGGACAGGAGTAGGTACCAGTAAAAAACAAGCCAAAGCAGAAGCAGCCAAAATGACTCTAGAAATTCTAATTCCTGAAATGCGTCAGAAAATTGAAAATGACAGCTACAAAGGAGGAAGAGGGCCAGGGCGTGTCCAGCACTCTGATCTTTCAGTAAGAACTTTTAGTTTGTGTAATTTTTTTGTATTCTAGGTTTAAGTCCAGTCTAATTAATCTAGTAATAAATTGTTTGTAATTTCAGTTTTTTGATGACATCAAAATTGAAGATCCCCGAGTACCAGAATTTTGTGCCAAAACCACAGAGCCATCGCCATATGCAATATTGCTGACGTGTTTGAAAAGGTATTTGATTGTCTTTCGCAAAATGCTTAATCTTTTTGTTCAGACAACAGTACTGTAATTTAATATATGTCTTGTTTGCCCTCAACAGAAATTTTGGATTGAGTGACATAGATATCAAATATCAAGTTAATACCCTCAGGCATCAAAAGAATGAATTCAAAATGTCTGTTGGCAACCATTCTGCAACTGTGATTTGTAAAAACAAACGTGAAGGGAAGCAGCGGGCATCTCAGTCCATACTCCAGGCGATGCATCCTCATATCAACAACTGGGGATCTCTGCTTCGTTTGTATGGTAGTCGCTCAGTTAAAACACCCCGAGAAAAGAAAATTGAGGAGCAGGAAATCACCACACTCCAGAATAGAGCTGCAGCGAACCAACCTAACTGGGCTATCTTGGAAAAGCTAAAGGATGCCATGTTGAAGCTGGAGGAATCTCGAGTATGTATTTTTTTCTTATCTTAAGCAACTTCTTGAACTGTGCTAATTGAAATGTATACCACTGTAACTGGCACCTTCTCTTCCTTTCAGGCTGCTGTCAAACCAATTGGTGATTTTGTACCACCTGATGATATAGAGTTACCTTCTACCTCTGCCTCCAACTTAAATAACATTGAGTTATAATTTGTCTTGTATTGAGTGAGATGTTGTTACACTATGATGACTGTTTCCAATAGTATTTTTCTGCCACACAGCCACTTTTTCTGAAAATGAAAATATTAGCCTTAATAAGCAATCTGTGATTCACTTATGTTCGTTTAAAATTTCATTATTTGACCCTGTAAATTATAGTGTGGGGTGTCTCATATTGGCACTTTTTCTTGTGCTTGTGTCTGTAAACAATATTTTAAATGTGACTTTTTTTTTCTTCATTCCTTTTTTTTTTCAAGTATTTTAGAACCTTGTGACAAATCTCTTGTGGAATTGTTAATGTCAATAAATGCTTTTTTTCTTAAACCTGCAGTCTTCTTATCAGGACATTCCAAATTCACATTTGCCGCCAGAACTATGCTGCATATAACGACCGGTTGCTCTATGTACAGGAATAAATGGAGGGGGGGATGGGACTCATCGTAAACAAAGCTTGCGATAGCCTTATCAAGTTTTCCCTTCTATTCGGTGGACAAAGGACAGGGGTCACTGCAAGTCAATTTCACAATGTTCTTTTTCTGAGCTATCGGTCTCCCACTGGTTGACACGCTTCCATTTCGTTGCCGTGCCGTTGCATTCGCCCCTCGCCCACCCGTCCAACGGTAGCAGACGACGCAAGTGTCCAGCTTTTAAGCGAATTTGACATGATGAACTTATCTCGGAGTCACAGGCTTTTCTTGACGGTAAAAAAGGCATTTTTTTTTAATTTTTTTTTTGCAAATCTCAGTTATTTTCTCCAGTACTTTCTTGTTTTACGATATGTCGTAGGTTATGGAGAAATGAAGTTTTTTAAAGAGTAAAGTTGTGTTTTCATTAGGTTGTGGAGAAGGAATCTATAAGGAGTACGATACAATCTTTGAGGTTTGCGAGCGGCTGGACCGGTCAAGAGCCAATTCAACAAGATGATCCCGAGGTTTGGCAATTGGTGCAGGAGGAGAAGCAGCGACAGCGAAACGGGTTGGAATTGATTGCATCAGAGGTGAGGGCAACTCAATAAGTGTTAAAGAGAGAAATCCCTCTTTGAGTCAAATATCTTTAACTAATATTTGCAACTTGTTTCAGAATTTTTGTAGCCGGGCAAGTTTAGAAGTACTGGGGTCATGCCTCAATAACAAATACTCAGAAGGGTACCCAGGACAAAGGTATTTTTCTTACAGCAGATCTAATTTCATTATTTATAGCTCATTCATCATACCAAGTGAAATTTAAATTTCTGAATTTTCTTTGCAGATACTATGGAGGTACGGAAGTAATTGATAAAATAGAAAATCTTTGCAAGAAGAGAGCTCTGGATGCATTCAATCTTGATTCAGAAAAGTGGGGTGTCAATGTTCAGCCCTATTCAGGATCTCCCGCCAATTTTGCTACATACACAGGTCTCATGCAACCACACGACCGAATCATGGGTTTGGACCTTCCCCATGGAGGACAGTAAGTTAAAATTAGTGATTGCTTGTTTGATTTTTTTGCAATGCAATTTTGACTATTAACCTGTAATTTACAGCCTCACTCATGGTTTTATGACTGATACCAAACGAGTATCAGCTACATCGGTGTATTTTGAATCAATGCCTTACCGTCTGAACACAGAAACAGGCTTGATAGATTATGAAAAGTTGAGGGAGACTGCCGTTTTATTCCGGCCCAAAGTTATCATTGCTGGAACTTCAGCTTATTCTAGACTTTTGGATTATAAAGCCTTTAGAGAGGTACGTTAGTCTATGTTTTAACAGTTATACCAAATTTAGAAGTATAACTGACTTCAAAATATTTACGCTCTCTTACATTTCAGATTTGTGATGAAGTGAAAGCAATCTTATTGGCAGATATGGCTCACATTTCTGGTTTGGTAGCAGCAGGAGTGATCCCCAGTCCATTTGAGTATGCTGACGTAGTGACCACCACCACACACAAGACTCTTAGAGGAGCAAGGTAAAGTGAATGACACAGGGCTACTTACTAATTTACAAAAAGTTTCAATTGTCTCTGACAACAATTTTCCATAACTATTGCACAGGTCGGGTATGATATTCTATCGCAAGGGAATTAAGGGAAGTGACTCTAAGACGAAGCAGCCCATTTACTATGACTATCAGAGCCGCATTGATGCTGCGGTGTTCCCCTCCCTACAAGGAGGTCCTCACAACCATGCCATTGGTGCTGTAGCAGTGGCTTTGAAGCAAGCAATGTCTCCCGAGTTCAAATTATACCAGCAGCAAGTACTGAAGAATGCCAAGGCCATGGCCCAGGCTCTTCTGAAGAAGGGCTACTCATTAGTTTCGGGTGGCACAGATAATCACCTTGTTCTAGTTGATTTACGATCCAAAAGTGAGTTATCAGATTCCTGTAAGCTCTTAAGTTGAAATAATTCAGAATTAAAATTAATGTATCACCTTGGATTTTATTTGTTTGACAGACCTGGATGGTGCTCGAGTTGAGGCTGTTTGTAATTTAACTCACATCACTGCAAATAAGAACAGTTGCCCTGGTGACAAGTCTGCTATGTACCCAAGTGGCCTAAGACTAGGTCAGATTTTTTTTTGTGCTCGCCTGTTGTGAGAATTTCACATTAAAAGTTAAGCTTTTGGTGGGTGGATGTTTTTCCAAATATATATTGTTACAGGTGCCCCAGCTTTAACTTCAAGAAACTTTACTGAGAAAGACTTTGAGAAAGTTGTGGATCTTTTGGATGTGGCTGTCAACATTGCCGCTGAGGCAAAGAGCAAGTCAGGTATTGTGTTGTTCTGAATAAGAGCTGTGGCCTGAGGCTATGCGTTGGATTTGGGCTTCATCATTACAATTTCCTTTATAGGCAAAACGCTGAAAGAATACAATTTGTTCCTCTCATCAGACGAAGGTATTCAAGCAAAGATGGCTTCACTCAAAGCAGAAGTGGAATCCTTTGCTTCATCATTTCCTATGCCTGGATTCGACGACCACTAGCCTCAAAACTCTATAATTGTAAAATTTAACGAATTATTTTTGACAAAAGATCTGAGTTTTTTGTATATCCTTATTGTTAGACTATTTTCCCTCTTATTTGTCTGTGATTTAGTCATCTTGATGTGCACGCCTTTTTCTATGTTTGGCAGGCTCTCTGTGTACGTAGTCATGAATATTTGTTTATCACCTTGATTCCGTAGGACTCGTTAAAATAATCATATGTCTAACTTAAGCAGAACTGAGTCTCTTTATTTTGCACCTCTGCACACTTTCTTGTTGAGCCCCTACCACAACCCCGAACCCCGCTAGGACTCTACCCTAAAGCTCTACCCCCTGCTCCGTGTCGCTACCCCGTGCTCTGAGGGAATGTCTCTTCCCTCCTCTCTCCGACAGATGGCGCGGAACGTGGAACATGTAGTGCGCTTAAGTGCGCTCACACCACACAATGTTGACAAACATGCCGGCTTCGAAATTCTGCTGGGTTGGATTCAAATCAAAGTTAGGTAAATTCGGATAACCCGCTACAGCCTTTCTACCACTGCAGCATTTATTTAAACTCAAGAGGTGTCTCCGCTCATTTCTCAAACTCGTCGCTGGTTGGTTCACCAGCGCAGCTTCGACCAATCAGCGACGAGTTGGGGAAACAAAAGAACGTTTGAGCAGGACATACGGGAAATAAACAGAACAGATGGTGCATTCATTTATGTACATAACACTTCTAGAATGTTTTTTCTTGATTTTGATCAAAGATGCCGGCTGTGTTTTACGAGGGCCGAAAATATGGTTCCCTTATTCGTTGAAAATGGAAGACCAGAGCCGACTTTGTGTGATCGCATAGAAAACTGCACCTGTCTCAAGGTACTGTCCTTTAGGTTATAAATAGTTCTTGGGTGTAATTTAAAAAAAAAAAATTCTAGACAAAATATGCTTGTACCTACTATGATTTTTGTCTCATCTCTCTCTTTTAAAAAAGTCTAATTTTTTAAGAAAAAATTATTTTTGTTTATTGTTTTATAATTTCTTATGTTGTACTTTAGGCTCCCAAGTTTTAATTTTTGTGTCGTTCCTCTGCTGTTCAAGCTTGTTGAGTGTGATGGCCTTCCAAGTGCGATGTGCATCGACTGTCTTTCTAAACTTGACCTCTTCAAGGAGTTTCAAGAACAGTGTCAAAGGACAGACGCAGTTTTAAAAGAACACCTGCATGCTTTTCTTGTAAGTACTAAGCAATTGAAATTGTTATCGTCTTTGATTTTAATTTTGTGAAATGTCTGATTTCTTGTCACTCTGTAATTAATTCTTTTCCTCTGTTTGTTAAGGCTGCTAAAGAGCAACAAGGAAACTTTATTGAAAGTGATGCAGAGGTTCAAAAACCGAACATCTCATCTGAGGCGATCTTAGAGACTAATCATATTGAAGAAAGTGTTTGTGATAGTGGCACTGAATTCTCAACCCAAATACAAGAGTTAAATCTGCCCACTAAGCTGGAGGTAATTTATTTGTTGCATATAGTTCTCATAAATTTCAAAAGTACAGTATCAACTTACAAGAAATTCACTTTTTTGCAGGATTCCATCACCCTAAATAAACCTCGCTCAGGAAAACGTAGAAATAAGAAAGTGAAATCACTCGATCCAGCAGACCAGAAGCAATTTGAAAACAATGACAACCAAGAAAATAATATTGGTTTTGAGGATAACGAATATAAATGGCCTGGAAGCCTCTCAGATGAAGAATTAGAACGCCACAATGGTCTGAATGAATCTAAAACGTAAGTGCTCTGAATATTTGCTATGAGCTCCATTCTGCTAAAAATAATTGCCTTAAAGAGGAATTTTTAAACTTTCACTTTCAGGCAAGATTGTAATAATCCGGATGCTATTGGAAATCAGAAAAGAAAGTCAAAGGTATATGAATGTGAATATTGTGGCCGAACTTTTACAAGGTCCAATCATCTGGCTCAACACGAGCTTACTCACACTAAGGATGAGCCATTTCATTGTTACTATTGCAACAAGGGATTTTGGTATAAGAACTCTCTCATTGGCCACATAAAACAGAACCACACTGGAGATGTGAATTATACCTGTGAGGAATGCGGGCGTGGTTTTTTCCAACGTTCAGAATTCATGCGCCACAAACCTATTCATTCAAATGAAACTCCTTTCAAATGTGAGGAATGTGGTATGACCTTTAAACTCATGAAAAATCTCAAGAGGCATCAGAAGGTATAATCTTGGATCATTTATGAGAAAAAACTTAATATTTTGTCTTTTACTAATACTCAATCAATTTTCAGGTTCACACAGCTGCTCGCACTCACACCTGTCAATATTGTGGAAAGTCATTCAGAATGCTTCAGACTTTGCGAGTACACCTTATTACCCACACAGGGGAAAAACCTTTCAAATGCACACATTGTGGGAAAGGCTTTTCTCAGTCTGCTCCTCTCAAGGCTCACATAAGAAGCTTGCACACAGGGGAAAAACCATATCCATGTGAAATGTGTGGAGAGTCTTTCCCTACAGGAAACGCACTCAAGTCCCACATTTTCAAGCACACCGGCATACATCCCTACAGCTGTAATGCCTGTTCAGTGGTTTTTAAGCGTAAAAAGGACCTAACAGACCACCGAAACGCTGTTCATGGCGGATTCATTACATCTCCTGTGAAAGTGCCTCCCAAGTTACCTCTTCATGAGGTCTGCATTCAAGATGAAGATCAAGATGAAGTTCAAGATGCGGTTCAAGATGAGGCTGATACTTTTGCAGATGAGGTTGATACCCAAGAAGTAGCATCAAATGCATCTCTGAATCACCTATCGGATCTTCATGATCAGTTGTCCTCCCCAGTGCCAATGGAACCTCTGTTGAAACTTGAGCCAACTACTCCACAGCGCATTGATGTTCAGCAACACATTATGTTAAGTGGTGATGATTCGTTTTCAGAAGATTCAATGTCTGTCAGCACTTTGCCTCCGCTACCTCTTTCATTGCTCCAACAGTCCTCTCCTATTTCATCACCCCTTATGTCACCTAGTTCTGAGGATCTTCTCCCAACTGACTTGACCTTGACTTTCTCATGACATCATCATTTTATATGTTTGGAATGTATGTGATATGCAGAAGGGCCGTGCTAGAGATAAGGAAACAGTGCTGTTTTGTACCATTTGCCTTATTATACTGGAAGTGAGCATATTCCTGGTGTACTGAAGGTTAATTTTCAAGTTCCTGATTGTGATGATGAATGACAGTTAGCTCTTTTGGTGGTCTGATCTCAATCTTATTTAACAAATGTCAGAAGTTACATTTAAATTGTGCCTTAAAGTTTTGTTAATTATTTACATTATGTGGCTTTGTACTTTACCTTTTTAATTTTTAACATTTTAAATCTAAATGAATTTTCTTTAATTTTTTTCGCTAGCAGTTTGACATTATTTGCTGTACGTTTTTGTAACAACGGAGCAATTTTGTAATTTTCCAGTTTACAGTATTTTTTATTGATTTGACTGTTGCAGAGTGCTTCCCAGGGAAAATGAAGTGAAGTGTGATATTTTGTGTCAAAATTAGATTATTTTGATCTTAACAGTTTTTTTTTTTTTCTTCTTATTCTTTTCCCTGGGTGCAGCTGGGTGCAGCTTATAAGTGATAACTTTTAATTTTTAATCCACCCCGCGACATCAGAGATAAGCATTTATCTCTGGCGACATGAACTAAGTGTCAGACCGTTGAACTGAATTGAATTTGGACATAAGAGTGATAATAAATGTTGACTAATTTAACAATGATGTCTTTTTTATGCACAAAATCAACTAGTAACCTTGGAGGAGGGTGGAGGTCCCCATTCGATGGCTCCGCGTGTCTCGGCCGTTCAAGTCTCCCGTGTGCGCGCGCTGCCCGCTGCGCCCACTGTGCCCACTACTGTGCTCTGGGCGGAGAGGCCTCGGAATGGCTAGAGCTGGATTCCGAAAGATGGTTTTGTCGCTTTGTCTCTGTCGCCCTCATGGGACGTCTCGAAGTAGTGCGAGAGAGACAGAGCGACGAAACGGCAGGCGGGGGCGTGGCAGCGTGCGGCAGTCTGCGGCAGGGGGATGCAGCTTGGTGGGGCGCTAGGCGCTGTCGAAGGGAGAGGGCAGAGAGGGGAAGGGGCGGCCACCCCCTGCTAAGACCAGGGCCCGGGGGCGACTCGAACTAGCGCTGCAGTGTTGAGAGTGACTTGGACGCGGACGGGAACTCGAATTCGGTGCTGGTGCCCGTGCTGTGCCTGTGCTGCCAGTTCAACCAACACCCTCCGCCACTCGTGAGTACGTGTCCATGTCCCCTTTGGCCTGGGGCCTGCGGGGGCGGGGTGGATGCTTGAGTCGAAACGGTGGCAGACTAAATGTCGAGTGTGAGATGCACAGCGTGACTGCTTACACTCTAGTTCTGGTGCAGTCGCGCCTCTTTCGTACTAGTCGGTCACCGGACGGAACGGTACTGTATACGTCAACTGCTGCTCTGGGACACCTGCAGATTGATCCCGGGAGAAGTCTTCGTCGCTCTGTCTCCCTCGCATCCAGAGGGGAAGCCCCACGAGTGCGAGAGAGACAGAAAAAGACCCCAGCAACTGGTCTGCAGTGTACTGGTACCTGCAGAACGGTCCACACGGACCACGGGAAGGAGGCAGCAGGGAATTCCCTTACCGGGTCGTCGCTCTGTCTCTCTCGCACTCAAGGAAGGGAAAGGGCGTCCCGTAAAAGTGCGAGAGAGACAGAGCGACGGTTGCCGCGAGTGTAAAACGGGAAAGCAAAGCACGCCCCGCGCGGACAGCTGCCTTGGCTTACGCCATGCTCCGCCGCTCCGCCATGGTCCACCATGCTTACGCCCCCCTCCGGGTCCTCCGGGCCCTCCACCGCATCATTGTCTGCCGGGACTTAGAGGCTGAAGCGGTCGTTCCAATTAGGGGCAGTGAACGGCTGCAGGCTTACCCGCTCTGTCTCTCTCTCGCACCTTTCCGCAAAGTTCTGAGTGCGAGAGAGACAGAGCAACACTCGGACGGCCGGCGCACGAAGGGTTGCCTAGCGGCGCGGCGTGTTTGAGTGTTGGCTGGTTGGCTGCGGTGACCTAGGGTGGCCATTGTGTGGCCCAGGGTGGCTACAAGATGGCGCCAGTATTGCACACGGTTGTGCAAAGTTGGGCATGTTGCTTACTTACAGGTCGAAGATTCGCACCCTCGGGAGAGCTCGCCGAGAGCCTCGTCAGACACGGCCTACGCTACGTTTCCATATGCCGAGACTGATGCTCCCACCACTTGCAAACTTGTGTATCGCCGAAAAAAAAATCGCACGGGGAATGGGTCTGATAGTGTTAATGTTTTTGCGGGCGTACACAGAAACCAGGCAGCCAACGCCGCCACCCCTGTGGGGCTTCCCTCGGCGCCCCCACGCCCCGTCGGCCAGCTGGGGACCCACCAGCCGAAAACCACCTTCTGGCTTTCACTTTTCTGTCTCATCGATCTGGGTACCTGGGAAGATACGCTTAACAGGTGTCAGTCAGTTCAAAGTTCTGGCATGCCGAACCCCGATCACGGCATTTTGGCGCCAAATTCAAACGGGCTCGATGAAAATTGTGACAGATGATTAACTGTGACTGCTCCCTCCCCTCCCTCCCCCGCACTCCAGCGGAATGGTGGCCGCGCTGCGACTCTGAAGATATTGCTGCGATGAGGAATCGGGGATCCCCTGGGACTGGGAGCGCGTGGCGGCGCGGACTCGCGGGGCGGGGCCAGGCGCGGCCAGGCGCGGCCAAGGCGCACAGTGGATTTGCCAGAAGACCGGTGGAGGCGGCCAAAAATCAAGACGCGTTTTCAGCTGCAGAGTCGCTAACCGAACGTGTGTGACCCCACCAATGAAATGCTCTCCGAACGAGGAATCCATTGGTGGGGTCACACGCTCGGTTCGAGTCCCATTTAGCTGCCTCCTCCGGTCTTCTGGCCCACTGCGGGGCGGGAAGCGGGAGGCCGGCCGCCGTGAGATGGGATGCACAACGCAGTTCCTCTTCCCCTTCGCGATTCGCGCGCTCCGTGCCTCGCGCCTCACAGTCTCCAGCAGACTGGGTCTGGGAGACGATTTCGTCGCTCTGTCTCTCCCGCGCACCTACACGCGACGTCCCATGAGTGCGAGAGAGACAAAGCGACGGAAACGACTCTCCCTCGGAATCAGTCTGCCTTGTCCCCGAGTAGCTACCCCAGGATGCTGCCGTCTGTTGACAGGTCCGCGCGACGCCAGGGCCGCCAGGGCGACGCGAGGCAACGCCGGACAACGCCAGGTCGCACTAGGGTTGCAGCATGGACGCCGAGGAATACCGCAGGAAAGGTAGGTCCTCAGTCCGACAACTTGACGCGTCCTTTTGCCGAGGTTGCAGGCCTCCTTGCGTCGTCGACATGTTCCCCGAGCCGCACGCAGGCGAAATAGATTCCTTCCAGGTTCTAGGATAGAGGCACGGATAGGCCGGGCACGGAAGGATAGACGGCTTGACGAATAGGGGTGTCACTTGACGGCCGTTCCAGGCTCTCTAGCGGCGCTACGCGGCGCGGGCGGGGAGGGACTCCTGGAGGGACTCCCAGCGGCGTTGACGTCCGAATGGAGAGTGGATTGCGCGGAGGCCGGGGGAGGGGGAATTCCGGACGCGCGGAATTTCGGAAATAAAACCAAACGCGGCCGGGATTTTGGCCGCCACCGGTCTTCCGGCCCACTGTGCGGGGGTGTGCACAGAGGTGTGCGAGACCCTCTGCAAGGCCCCGCAGTGGGGCAGGAAGGTGTCACCAGGCCAGTGGAAGGGTGCTCCCCCGCGCCGGTCCGCACACAACCAGCACGGCATGCGGGGCGCGGGGCGCGGACGCGCGGACGCCGAGGCGGTGGGGCGGTTCGGCCGTTCGGACACTACGAGGCCTGAGGCTGCCTGAGGCCACCATCCAATCCAATTTGCGTATCAAATCGTCCCATCCCGCCCGCTCGCCCGCTCCGCCCCGCCCGCCGTGCCGCCGTCGCCGTGCCCGGCCTGGCCGGCACGCCGGGGCACGCCGGGGCACGCCGCGCCGCTCCAAGGCAAGGCGGATACGTCGCGGGGCACGGCCGGCACACTGTGCTGGCACGGCACGCCACTGGGAGCCTCATTCGGCGCAGTCTTTACCCGCTGTGCCCGTCCCGTAAAACAAGCTTTATTGCACGACAGCAGCTCAGCTGCAGGCTGGGATGGCATGGGCGCGTAGGGCGAGGCGGCGCGCATTGGCGTCTCTATTGCCGGCCTAGCCGATCACCCACCGGCCCCGCTCCCTTCCCTTCCCCCTGCCGCCCCTGCCCTGCGTGACCCACTTTGCGCAAAATAAGGCATTATTTGACGCCAGGGTGTACGTCTCTTTTAACGCCCCGCTGCTGCCGCCGCTGGCCCCGCCCCGCCCCGCCCCGTGTCCGTCTGGGGAGGCTCCGTCGCGTCGCGGGGGTGGGGGTCTTCGGTCAACGCAATCAGAAGCCAAGAATGCGAGGGAGTTGTTTGCCGACAGAATTAAGTACTGTTCCGCGTCGCAACAAGTAGCGTGGCGGGGCAGGCTGGCGAGGCCAAGGGCCAGAGGCCTTGCCCGGGGCGCGAGGCCCGAGGTCGCGGGGAAGGCGTCTGCCGGTCCACCGTCCACCCCGCGGCCAAGGCGCCTCAGCCCCCAACCCTTACAGTGAAGGGGGCGTAGGCAGGATGGGTTGCCTACGCTACAGGCGGAGCGGGGTTTCAACGGTTGGTTCGGTTCGGTGGGACTCTTCCTCCCTTTCCACGGCCCGCCACCCGCAAGGTAGGCAACCCCTCCTACGCCGCGCTGCGTCGCTGCGTCGCGAGCGAGGCGGCCTGCGCGCCTCCATTTCTCAATTTGAGTTCCAGGGAAAGGTTTGCTCCTTTTTCGGTTTCGAGGAATGCAGCAGTGCGGCAGTACCCTGCCAGTACGCAGGCAGCCGGAAATGCCGCCGCTGCAGCCTCACTCCGTACAGTGTCGCCCTGTCTCTCTCGCACCGCTGCGGTCTGCCTCTTGAGCGCGAGAGAGACAGAGCGACACCGTTCGGAGCCAAGCTGCAGGGTGCTGCACAGGGCGCCCCGCAAAGTAATTATTCGAGACGGGCCTGTCTCTGTCTCTCTCGTTCCCATGCGGAACGCCCCACGAGTGCAAAGAGACAGAGAGACGAAGCTGAGCTCGCTCGGTCGATGGCCAATTTGGAACCCCTTCCTCGCCCCTGCCCTCCACCCGAGACGCATCTCAATCAAGCGCGTTGATATGTCATTTTTTAAAAATATATTTTCTTTTGTCTTTTTGGCGGGCTTTTTGACGGTTGCTTACGGACGACCCCGCTTGCGGTACGTACCTGTGATTCCATGATTTCCCCCCTACCTCCAGACGAAGAAGAATAGTGTCCAGCCGATCGTCCTTTGCATGTGGCATGCGCGGGGCCGTTCGTAAAATCATGTAAAACAAAATCAGTTCTGTGAAAAACAAAGAAATAATCATCAAGAAAACAACAACAAGAACTGACGCTATTTTATTTTTTCAAAAATAATTTTTGCAAGGACTTTTGCTGTGACCTCTGCGAGCTGACGGTGGAAGTCCAAAAGGCCCTAAAACCGAGCACACGCACAAGGTTTCCGCACGGCCCCCTTGGGCCGCCTTTTGGCTATCCCTGCCGTTCCTTGTCCTTCTCGCTATTGTCCGCGTTGCCCGCCCCGCCCCGCCCCGCCCGGTTTCGGGAGTTTCGGGAATCAGGGACCGGGACCCGGGACGCGCCGTGCCGTGAGTGTAACGCGGTGCAGCAGGGCGATTACGCGCCGCTCTCTCTCTCTCTCACTCGCACCTGTGCGTGGCGGCCCATAAGTGCGAGAGAGACTGACGGCCGCATTGCGCGGGTTCACCCTGCAGGACGCACTTTCTCCGTCTCCGTCGCTCCCGGCCGTGCGACAGAGAGGGGCGCTCCGGCGAGGCTTCCCCGGTGCGACGCGGCGACGCGCGGCCCTACGCGGCCCCAGCTGACGACCTGGTCAAGGCCTCAAGGGCACAGTGGGCCAGAAGACCGGTGGGGGCGGCCAAAACTCTAGACGCGTTTTGAGCTTCTGAGTCGCTAAATGGGACTCGGACCGAACGTGTGACCCCCACCAATGGATTGCTCTCCGAACGAGCAATCCATTGGTGGGGTCGCACGTTCGGTTCGAGTCCCGTTTAGCGACTCTGGAGCTCAAAACGCGTCCGGGGTTTTGACCCCCTCCAGCGGACAAATCCACTGTGAAGGGCCAACCAAGCCCCCAGGCCTCAGCCAGAGTTTAGCAGCCGTGCCATACCGACAGATTCGCCAATTTTATTTGACCCCGCTGTCCGTGCTGCCCGCAGGCAAGGAGATGGTGGACTACATCGCCGACTACCTGGAGAACATCCGCAGCCGGAGGGTGTACCCGAACGTCAAGCCCGGCTACCTGCACAACCTGGTGCCCGAGAGCGCGCCCTTGGACCCGGAGCCCTGGGAGGACATCTTCAGCGACGTGGAGCGGGTGGTCATGCCGGGGGTGAGCGCGGCAGCCTGCCTGATGGGGCCTTTCGGACTCTGATGAGCAGTGGCGACCGTTTTCAAGTCAGACTTGTGAAATTTGTCGTCCAACACTCGGTCAGTTTGCCATGCAAACCGGGAGAAATGATGGCGGAGCCCATCGCAGGCCGACCCTCCCCTCTATTATCATTACTCGGAAACGCGTTCTGAATCTCAACCTCGTTGCGACGACGCTCCTGCCCCGGAGACCGACTCCGAGTCGTTTTCGTCGTTCTCTTTCTCGCACCCGAAGGGGACGCCTTTGAGTGCGAGAAGGACAGCGAAGCGAACGACTCTCGGAAGCAGTCTGCTGTCGCGGTGCATAAAAAAATGCGGGCGGCGGAAATGGTCCACACCGCACTGCAAGCCTAGCCCGGCCTGCCTCGACCCGGCCAAGCCACCCTTCCGACTGGTTTTTAATCAGAATGGGGAGAGATATCCGTCTCCGTCCACGCAGACAATCGTAACTCATACGCGCTGCGCCGCGCCCAGGGATTTCCTGTCCAGTTACACGCGTCGAGTTGTCGCACTAGTTGCAGTCGCGCCCGCGGGGGGAGCGGAAGGGAGCAGCGGTAAGCGATGAAAGAATTGGCGGCAAGGTTGGACGGCCTAGTTTTCGGCAGTGTACCCCTCAGAATCGCGCGAAGATCACACGGTAACGTGAGCCATCCCACCAGATACAATAAAATTCCCACACTAATGCAGGAAATGGCCCAGTGAAAAGAAAGGCATCATGTAAAGTGGGTTATTCACTTGAAAGATGAGTCTGCAGCAACTAAGGAGGCTGGCGTAACTTTGCCAATGCAGCACGTCAGCAACAACTTTTTAAGTTTTGATAATTTCACCCACTTTAAATTGGAAAAGTCATGATGTAATGCTTGTAAGAAGTGGTGCAACGTTACTTGATGTTGCGGTCAGCACAATCATGAATGGGTTTCTCCGCTACTTCGGTTAGCTTTGCTGGTGTGCTGCAAAGTACAGTCAAATTTATTTTGAGAGTGGAAGTTAGGATAAGATCAGACAGTGGGTGTAAAACAATGTTCAAACAGATGAAGATCACAAAAAAAAGATGCAGCAAAAACTGGAATTTACATAAATTCATGGTACTCCTCGCTGATAAAGCTGTGATACGATCAAATATACATGTCACATCAATATCAGCGGGAAGCCCATGTCATTTCAGGCAGCCGTTGAGGGAGAGTTCAGCAGTTCCAGATGACATTGCCAGAGGATCTCCTCACTGATTCTAGCTGTGATATGGTCAAAATCAGCATGTCCCAGCTAAACCAGTGGAGAGTCCACAACAATCCGAGTGAGGCGCGGTGAGGTTAGGCGACGACTAGGCATTGCCTTGGTGCGTATCAAAGTTGACTGTGATATGATAGCAAATCGACATGTCACAGTCACTTCGATACAACCACGACAAGCCCCGCTGAGTGTCTGGGAATGCAACCTGAAACGAGACGAGACAGAAACACCAACACGGAGCCGCGTCTTCGCTTCCGGTGTAGGGCACAGCGGCGCAGCCCGTGCAGCCGCACCAAGCCGACGATCCCTGGCAGCCAACAGGCACGCAAACGCAGCCAAACGCACCCGGCCGCAGCAACGCAACGCCGACGTTGCGACGCGGACGCGGGGGCTGTACACTAGAAACTCGGAAAGAACGCGACGATGGCCGAGGCGGAGCAAAACCACGCCGAGGGCGGCGGGCCTGCGTTCCCGCCAATACAAGCACTCCACTACACTGTTCCACTTACTTTGAGCCCGCGGGTCGGCCGATCCGCTCGCGATTACCCGTTCACACGCTTCGCGGCTTCGCCCGCCTTGCCGATGCCGACGCTGGCCTGGCGCGGTGCTGCGCGGTGCACCGGATCGCGACCGTGCCGCCGTGCCCGACGAGGACGCGAAGCCCGCGCCCGCAGCCCCTGCGACGCGGCACGCGCGCGCCCCGCACTCAATGGAATCAAATGAATGACCCAATCAAAAACAGCGATAAAAACTGACCGCGGACTCTTGCCGCGACGCGGGACGCGACCAGCCAGCAAAGGGCAACACCCCGAGCCCACACCACACGCCCTGCCCGCCCTGCCCCAGCGGGCCAGCGGCCCCAGCCCCGCCAAGCCCAGCGAACGGCGAACCCACGCTACGCCGCGCCGCGCCCCGCGACCGCGTCCTCAGCCCAACCGAACCGAACCCACGCCATCCGACAACGGCAAACCACGGGCCATCCGCGGCGAGGACGCTGGCGACGATTAGCACGGGGAAATAACCGGAACGGGCACACGCACGTGCAGTAAACAGCATGGCCTACACACTCGGAAACAAATGCGAAATGAGGCAGGTAGCGCCAGGTGCGCGGAGCGCTGCGCTGCGCCCAACAAACCAACAAGCAAGCGTCTTCTCTTCTCTCTCGTCTCGTCCTCGTCTCGCGAATGTTTGCCTCTCCTCTCCGCGTCTCTGGCCGGGGAAGCGCGTCTCTTTCCACGCGGCCAGCGTCCCGCCGCGCCGCGCGCGCGAAAACCAAAAACCGCCGCCGGGAGCGCTAGCGGTGCGTGAGTCCCGCGTGGCCCGATCACGTTCTCGCCCGACCACGCCGACGGACACGCCAACGCCCCGCGAACCAGTTCGAAACGAGACGCGCGGCCGGCAATGACATTCTTTAACGTTTTCGTCGTTTCGGAACCAGAAAATAAAGAAATCGGCACATTGCACGATTAAAGGCCGCTATTCAATTGTAATTTAATGTCCTTGGGAGATTGTGAGGCATAAATATGACCCAGAATACACGAAATAAAAGTACAGTGTCAGTGCCCGAGGAGCTATGCTGAATTGGAAGACGGGACAAACGAGGATTCATGATTGGAAAAGTTGTCGACTCTGCGGTTTCTGTCTGCCTCCAGGTGACCCACTGGCAGAGTCCGCACATGCACGCCTACTTCCCGGCGCTCAACTCGTACCCCTCCCTCTTGGGGGACATGCTGGCCGACGCCATCAACTGCATTGGCTTCACCTGGGTAAAATATGAACGCCGTCTGTCCGCTCTGTCTCTCTCGCAAAACCGCGGCACTCCCCGGGCACTCCCCGCCTCCCCGCGAGAGCGAGAGAGACAGAGCGACAAGGCGGTCCCGAGTGAGTGCTCACTGGCGCGCTGGCGCGCTGCCGCTGCGGGGGTGTTGATGGCGTTGATGGTGTTGATTGCAGGCGTCCAGCCCCGCGGCCACCGAGCTGGAGACCGTGGTGATGAATTGGCTCGGCAGGATGGTGGGGCTGCCCGACGAGTTCCTGCACCTGCGCAGCGACAGCCCCGGCGGGGGCGTCATCCAGGTGAGCATAGACTCAGTGGATTTGCCAGAAGATCGGCGGAGGCGGCCGAAATTCTAGGCGCGTTTTGACCTCCAGAATCGCTGAATTGCTCTTCGAGCGAGGAATCCATTGGTGGGGTCACACGTTCGGTTCGAGTCTCGATCAGCGCAGCGGCTCTGGAGCTCAAAACACTCTCTGTCTTCCAGACGACAGCCAGTGAGTCCACGTTCATCTGCCTGCTGGCGGGCCGCACCGAGGCCATCAGGCGCTACAAGGAGCGCTGCCCTGAGCTGGAGGACGCCGAGATCAACAGCAGGCTGGTGGCGTACACGTCGGACCAGGTGAGTCTCGCCGTCGCACAGTGGATTTGCCAGAAGACCTGTGGAGGCGGCCAAAACTCTAGACGCGTTTTGAGCTCCAGAGTCGCTAAATGGGCCTCGAATACCGAACGGGTGATCCCACCAATGGCCTGCTCTCCGAACGAGGAATCCATTGGTGGGATCACTCGTTCGTTTCGAGTCCTGCTTAGCGACTCTGGAGCTCAAAACGCGTCAAGAGTTTTGTCCGCCTCCACCGGTCTTCTGGCAAATCCACTGTGCACTGTGGGAGGGAAAGGCCACCGTGACCATGTTCCATGTCGGGCAGGCGCACTCCTCCGTGGAGAAGGCGGGGCTCATCGGGCTGGTGCAGATGCGCTACATCGAGAGCGACGACCAGCTCAGCCTGCGCGGCGACCGCCTCCGCGAGGCGCTGCGCAAGGACCGCGCCAACGGACTCATCCCTTTCTTCGTGAGTTCCTCCTCTATCTCGAAATTGCCTTTTGGAAAAGTGGCGCGCAGAATAAGTCGGTAGGGGATCCCCGCGCCCGGAGGCTCGGTGCCTCCACAGTGCCCCGGCAATGCCGCAATCCGCTTTAGCGTGCCCGGCCGGGTGGCCATTCTATAGGCCACCCTGATTGGCCCGCAGCGCGCAGCCATGGCGCAGCCATGGAGCCTCCGGGGACCTCATTAGCCGGATTGGTGGAGTCTCGGCGACCCGCCACGTCCTGCTAGGCCCTGTCGGTCTCTCTCGCACCCCTACGGGCCGCCCCACGAGTGCGAGAGAGACAGAGCTACGAATGAACGGGCACCCGGTCGCTATCGCTTCGCTGTCGTCCCGCATGTCTCTAGCCGGGCCTTCTTGTCGGCAGCTGTGCGTCACCCTGGGCACCACCGGAGCGTGCGCCTTCGACAACCTGATGGAGCTCGGACCCATTTGTGAGTAGCAGGGTGGTCCTGGCCCTCCTGGGCCTCGTCGGGAAGCGGCGGGTTTGACAGGGAAGTCCCATGTCGCAGGCAAGGAGGAGCGCCTCTGGCTGCACGTGGACGCGGCCTACGCGGGCACGGCCTTCATCTGCCCGGAGTTCCGCGGCTGGCTGGCGGGCATCCAGTTCGCCGACTCCATCGCCTTCAACCCCAGCAAGTGGATGATGGTGCACTTCGACTGCACGGCCATGTGGTGAGCCCCTGACGCGTTTTGAGCTCCTGAGTCGCTAAATGGGACTCGAACCGAACGTGTGACCCCACTGATGGATTCCTCGTTCGGAGAGCAATCCGTTGGTGGGGTCACACGTTCGGTTCGAGTCCCATTTAACGGCTCTGGAGCTCAAAACGCGGCGGGGAGAATCTCCGGCCGCCTCCACCGGCCTTTTGGCCTTCCGGGACGCGAGCGTGAATCCGAGCCTTTGTCCTGGGTCGCAGGGTGAAGAACAGCAACGCCCTGCACCGGACGTTCAACGTGGAGCCCCTGTACCTGCAGCACGAGAACTCGGGCCTCGCCATCGACTACATGCACTGGCAGATCCCGCTGAGCAAGCGCTTCCGCGCCCTCAAGCTGTGGTTTGTCATCCGGAAGTACGGCATCAAGGGGCTGCAGAAGCACATCCGGGAGGCAAGTCCGCCACTAGCTGCACAGTGGGACAGAAGACCGGTGGAAGCGGTCGAAGTTCTGGACGCGTTTTGAGCTCCAGAGTCGCTAAATGGGGCTCGAACCTAACGTGCGACCCCAACGATGGATTGCTCTACGAACGAGGAATCCATTGGTGGGGTCACACGTTCAGTTCGAGCCCTGCTAAGCGACTCCGGAGCTCAAAACGCGTCTAGAGTTTTGGCCGCCTCCCCCGGTCTTCTGGCCCAATGTGCGCCCCCTTGTCTTGCCCCTGGCGGGAGGCAACCCAACCGACCGCTCCCTGGCGTTCTGGCGTTGCAGGGCGTCCGCATGGCGCAGAAGTTCGAGGCGCTGGTGCTGTCCGACCCCCGCTTCGAGATCCCCGCCAAGCGGCACCTAGGCATGGTCGTCTTCAGGCTGGTGGGCGACAACGAGCTCACCGAGCGCCTGCTCAAGAGGATCAACTCCAACGGTACGTCTGAAAATTAATTGCCATGGGTGTGCGACAGTCTGGGGCGTTGCACGTGCACGTCGAACGGTTGCAGGCGCGCTGCACTGCGTGCCCGCCTCCCTCAAGGGCCAGTACGTGATCCGCTTCACCGTGACGTCGGCGCGCACCACCACCGAGGACATCACCAAGGACTGGGCCGAGATCCGCAGCACGGCCAGCACCATCATCCACGAGTACCACGCGGCCAACGCGCAGGTGCCGACCACCAGGGCGAGGGCCAGGGTGCCGCTGGCCGAGACCCGCGCCCGGAACGAGCTCTTCGGCTCCAGCCTGCTGCTCGCCAACTCGCCCATGTCGCCCAAGATCGTCAACGGCAGCTTCGCCGCCATGTTCGACATGGACACGGACATGGTGACCGAGTGCGGCTTCAACTTCGCCCACCTGCGGCTCGGGCACAAGAACAGCCCAGGTGAGTGGCGGGGAAGTCCCCGTGCCGCAGTGGATTTGCCAGAAGAACGGTGGGGGCGGCCAAAAATCTAGACGCGTTTTGAGCTCCAGAGTCGTTAAAGAAGAGTCGAACCCCGCCAATGGATTCCTCGTTCGGAGAGCAATCCATTGGGGCCACACGTTCGGTTCGAGTCCCATTTAGCGACTCCGGAGCTCAAAACGCGTCTAGACTTTTGGCCGCCTCCTACGGTCTTCTGGCAAATCCACTGTGCGTCTGTATCTAGGGATGCCTTTGCCTTACTTGCCTACCCCCAGGCTTTCCCAGGCTTGCGAGTGCTCTGCGAGTGCTCTCCGAGTGATGCACTGTGCTCTACTTGTCCTGCTTCTGCTTCTCGCGCGCAGCCATGCGGCGCCGCATTCGCGGCATGCTGCTGTCGGGCCGCCAGTTCTCGCTGGACTCCCGGATCGACCTGGTGCAGGGCACGGTGCAGGGCGTGCTGGCCGAGGAGAAGGAGCGCCGCGCGCAGGGCAAGCAGGCCGAGTTGCCGCTCATGCGCGAGGACTCGGTGGAGGCGGGCGGCGCGAGCGCCGAGCACGGCCACGACGCGCAGAACTCGCACCACGCCGGTAAGGAGCCGTGAGCAGCATGAGCAACACCTTGACGTGGACATGCACCTTCTGTTTTGCATGTCCACTCAGTTCAAGTCGACGCAAACATTTATCAACGACTCTTTTTAAAAATGCTTTTTTGCTTTGTCGTGTTGTTTCGTCCCCTCTACACAGAGGGGTCGCTCAACGCGAAAGTGCATGGCATCACCTGCCCAGCCTACGGCCCACACGCCCTCCTTGTCTTGGCCGGGGAATGACCATGACGCTCTCCTTCTGCTGCAGGGCAAAACCGCTCCCGCTCCGTGGATCGCCCAGCTGATGTGGACGAGGACGTCCCCGACGAGAAGCCTGCTCCGCCCACAGCAAAAGCTCAAGCTCCTGCAGCCGCCCCGGCTGCCCAGTAAATAAACTATTTAAAAGAATAAAGGGTCTAAGCATTTTATCTAATCTAATGTAAAAAGGGAATGCCAAAAGAAATGCAGCTTCCTTGATGTAGGCAATCAATCCGAAAACACAAAGTTCCTTTTCATAAAATGTGACATGCGTTAGCTATAAAAAGTAACAAGCGCGCAAAATGTAGTCCATGGGATCATTGCGCTTGTCACAAAGTTTTATTGTTTAGATTTTGCTAAAACAAATATAAGACATTTACGTTACACCGTATGTGTCTGCTGTTTGATTGGCGTTCTTTTGTTCTACAAATTTAAACAACATGCTTCTTTTACTTCTGCATGATTTTTAGTTTGGAAAGTGTTAGATGTTCTGTTCTCATATTAAAATCAAATGTTGACAGTTTTGTTTGAAACAAATAATAGAAGTAACAATAATTATAGTCGGTTGATTCTTTTCAAACACCCAAGTGTGTTTCCCTTTTCTTATAACTAGGATCAGATGAAGAGGTACTCTTCAAGGGAAGGGAGCTACAGTATCTTCTGTAGTGTCTCACTCCATCAAGCATTTCATTATGTTCCGGGTAAGACAATTCTCCTGTCTATTTTTGGTGATGCACTGTCATCAGCAAGCTACTACAGTAGATCTTGGATGTTAATTAAAAAATGATATAGGAAAACAGTAACAAACAATGATAAAACAATTAAATTAAAACATGTTTATTTGATTTTTTCTGGTTGTTAATTACAGCAAAGTTGCGGAATATAAGACTGGACTAATGAAATAGCACAAATGGCAACACCTAGAGCAGGAAATAGGAGCTCATTCAACAAGGTTTATAACTAGCATCACATGATTTAGCAGAAACGTCTCTGAACACCTGTATTTTACCTGTCAGAAACTCCAGCAAATAATGAAGATTATGATTGATTCAAAATAAAACTTACTACAGTAACTACAATGCAGCATTTATTCTTTGATAGCTGGTATTCAAGCATGAGAGACATATGACTGTATACAGTAAAAAAAAAGGTATCAATAATAATAATAATAATAATAAATATTTAATATTACTTCATGCAGCTTATCTGCAAGATGATTAATCACAATAGCTAAAGAAAATCAACCCCTTTAAACACAGCTCCCGCATAGAAAGTTTTTGGGTTCACAATAGAATGCCTAACTTGACTAGGCAATTTCTATCCAGTGGAAATCAAGGACACGCTAAAGAGAGGAAGGAGGAGAATATGGTCAAGTAGCTATGTCAGACTTGTAAATGACATATATAAATGAGCACAAAGCAAAATACTTTTTTGAACAGTCTTTTCCATATACATCAAAACAAAACACAAAATCCATATAATTAATGCTTAGTGGAGAGACTAGCTCCTTTAGTAACTAATACATCTCAATTTTCAGTTCACTATGCCATCTTTCTTCAGGTTCATGAATCAAGTCTGCCACAGCTCCAAGATTCCCACTATCTAAACTATCTACCACTATCTAAACTGCTGAATTGATGCTGTTCTGGGTTCACCAAGACAACCATTGTCAACCATAACCCAATAAGCGCATACTTGAGGTCGCCGACAATAGTGTTCTCTGGTGAAGTAAATTGATACCCTAGAGCATAACCCACAATTTAGTAAAGAATCACAATAAAAGCTAACTTGAGGAATGTGGGTAAAGCATGAATGCATTAATTTTGATCTTGACGAATTGAACTAGTTAAGAGGCACTTATATACCAAAGCACTTTTTGATTGTATTATTAGAGTTTCAATATTTCATTCAACTATATCACACTTTTTGACCAGGTGAGCCAGAAACCTCTACTTCTCAGAGAAAAGGGTAGCATATTTCTGAACCACCTAGTTTCTAAAATCTCCCTTTTAATAAAAATGATGCACTAAGGTACCAGTTTACCCAGTTTACTGAGTATCATAAAACTTTCACTGTAAGAAAAAAAGGAATAGATGAATCAATGACTACATTACAGTATAATAATTCTATCTTTCCCATAAGCTTCTAAATCTACTATACCTTTTTTTTTAAACAGAAAAGACATGAACCTCTCTGAGATTTTTGGTTTTACATGAACATGCCAACATAAATAAATAAGGAAAATGAAAAGAATTTGACTGACATATTTTAGTCCAACTAAGCTACCTCAGTGCAGAGTTGGGACAACACGCAATACAGGACTCACAAATATCTACATTGCAGTACACTATTTCATACAAATAATTAATGGAACCGGTTGGATCACCAGCACAACTCTCAAATACAGCAAGATGGGCTGGTGAACCACACGGCAAGTTAAAAACACACACATGCAGCTATATATATTTTAATTGTTATAAAAAGTTGAAATAATCTATTACCCCTACACTCTAAGGCATTTAAAGCCTGAGACTGTCAATCCATAAATAAAGAGTAACAAATAGATTCTGACCTTATTCCATGCTTGGTCATCATCCTTTTCTATAAAAAATCTTTAGCTACAAGTATTTTATTATAAGATTTGCACTCAGTTGCTACCAGGATGTTGAGGAACTACAAACTTCATTAAAGCATCAGACTAAGGTTTAAGACCACAAGTTGGGAAAAGGCAGGGAAAAAACAGAAGCCACAACTCATCACTGAATGAGTGGCTCTTATAAATAAGCATCAGATCGTCATTTTCGTCATATCCTTCAGTAGTTGAAACATTAAGTTTGCCTTCACTCATACAGCTAATAAAATCGCAAATAAGAAACACAGTTTAAGTTACAAATTTCAGTCTGAAGTGTATGCCTACATGTTTGAATGTAAGTAGACAGCTCTCATAATCATTGGTGAGAGTTTCTATTTTCAGTCAGTAATAAAATCTGTGAATGTATCCACTAGGCAATTCTCCCACACACACATTTTCAATTAGAATATTCTAAATACTTGATATGCCAATCATTTTATAGTGGAGATACAACAATGAAAAGATCACTTTCAAGACGTTTGCAGTACTAGAACAGTATACCAAAGCAAATGCAAACATATGATAAAACGACCTTCATGAAACATAATTGAAACGATCCAGGAACAAACTGATGAATATTGGGCTGTTAGTTGCTATAAAGAACAGTACATTGAGGTATACGCCCATGGGAGGAAATGAAAAATTTACTCAACATGAGAAGGTGAGCAATCTACAGGTGCTTTATTTTCCAAGTGTGGAGTATTATATAAGACACTATTTGGAAATTGACAGAGAGATAAATTCTCACAAAGTAAACTTTAATTGATTGAAAATGGCCCAAAGATAGAGAAAAATTGCAGCTAGATATTTGGACAAGGCCATAATTCAAAGGCAGGATAAATAATTAAAAGAAAAGTGCTTCTAAGCAAGTTTGTACAAGACAGTATCTAGAGTGCTTTCATAAGGAAGAAAATTATGATATCAACTAACCTTCAGAAAGAATCAATGGTCGAATGGTTTCAGCTCTATCAATTTGGCAGTTCAAGGTTAATTTAAACTTAGAAAAAAGGAGTCTACATATCATGCTCTCGGCTTTTCACTAGTTACAAACAGGAAACCATTCAGAACTTTCATACACCTTCACCCTTCACTTAATTTCTCTTGTCATGAAAATCCTGCGCTCTAAACATCCCAGATAATCAAGTCTTGAAATACTTGTTTTCAAACAGAGGAAAGTAAAAGTCATGGTCCCTAGCCGCCGTCTCGACTGTTTAGAAATTTATAATAAAATCCTACATCAAAGTATTGCAGGAAAGAAATTACATTGAGTACTTTTGGAAGTTCTAAAACTGGAATCCTGTTTTTTTTTTTGTCATTGTGGTACAATTGAGTGTACAGACAAGGATCAGTTTGTGATGCCTAAAAACACAAAGAAAACCAGCTTAACATGTACCTAGAGGCTTTCCAACATCAAACAATAAAACTACTCTATCAATTTAGCTTCACAAACTTTGTCTGCTAAAGTGAAGTACAGACTATTCTCTCTAATTTTCATGGCAGTGATGAATTTCACTACTTGCCCACAAAAGTGCTATCAACACATTTTCTAAATTGACAGTACAAACGCTCGGTAACACCATGTTTTAAATACAAAACATGCGTTACTAATAATTTATGGTGAATATTTACCCACAAAATGGTCAGAATTGTAAACAGTTCGTTAGACTGAAGTCACTCTAAACAGTTTTAAGGCTAACAAGCATTCATACGTACTTCAAAGTACATAGTAATTGTTCAATATAAGAAGGAGATTCTGACCAAGAGCCAGGAACAGTAAGACTGAAGTAGTACTGTCAGTGAATAATCCAATATGAAGAGTTAGTTGATATGCCAAACATACACCAATCCACATGTAAAAATATAAAGACTTCAACCAATATCAAAGTATCACCACCTCAGAGTCACCCAATTGAAATAAACCAAAATTTAATTTAAAAATCCTCCTATAGTTGTACCATTATTATTGCAAGAGGCTAAAGAAAATTATGTTAACCATCTAACATTACATAACTTTTAACATATAACTATTGTAACTGAGCACATGATGAAAGGTCAATGACTACATCCCTCAATTAACAGGTGAAACTTAAAGGAAAAAAAAAGGAAAAAGAAACACTGTTAGCAAGACTAACAAAACCCTTGCTTGCCTCCACATCCAGAACTATGCCCTGTTCTCAATCAAACCAATTTCATAATATAGCAACGCCATAATATTCAATATAAAATGTTCAACCACATTAACATGATATATTATCCGATGAAGACATAATCTTGCAGTTACAAGGCACTTGTATGTATTTATTAACAGAAAAATTAAAATTAATTACCATTACATGTAATCTCGGCAGGCTTTAACGCTGACCCGAACTTGGGAAGGGAACATGTAACTTGTTAGTTGACAGTAACACATAGTTCAGGTAAGCTTTTGAAGCTAACTACTCAAACTTTTATTTTCAGTAGCATAAGTGATGACTGTCTCTGTACTATTGGTACAGAATATAGAGAAAAATACCACAAAATAATATGATTATTACAATCATGCAACACACAGGAGAAAAAAAAATTGCAAGCAGCATCACAATAATTTGGGCAGCCTTAATGAATGATCTCTTTTAGACGTGGCATCATGCAACAAAAAAAAAAACTTGATTTTTTTTTCATAAATTGATTAAAGTGTGATGCCAGGATGTACATTAAATAACGAATTCTAAAACAAAACAATTCTTGCATTTTACAAAGTATATCAAAGTTCTTAAGACGGGGCTGCACTTGTTTCAGTTTGAACTACTACCATTTCACCAGGCGGTGTCGTAGAATGTGACATGTCTTCATGCACCATCTCGTGCATCTCTCCATGCTCACCGTCGATGTACCCAGCATTTGATGACCGCTCAGGGGGAGGCAAAATAGGTATAGCTGATTTGACTCGTGGCTGGGGCACAGCCCGGGGAATATTCTGATTTTGGGTTGAATAGTATGTTATACCTCCTTGAGGCTGATACAGCTCAGCTGGCTGAGGTTGACTTACTGGCCCACTCTGAAACACGCATACACACACAGTAAGAACCACGAAGCCTCACTGGCAGTGCGGAGAAAGTATTACGCCAAGTGACGTGCTTACCACCATGGCTATGGGCTGGTACGGCTGGAACGCCAGCTGCGGGTACTGCCCTTGCACGTGGCCCTGCACGTGGCCCTGGACGTGCCCCTGGACATGCCCCTGGACCTGCACGTGCGCCTGCACTTGCGGTGTGGTGGCCGCCACGAACGGGGGGGCGGGGGGATGGCCCGCATGGCCCGCCACTGGGGGGATGAAGCTGCCGGGGGGCAGCAGGCGCGCGGGCGGGCCCGGGGGAGGCGCGATGAAGCCACCCTGCGGGAAGCACTGGATGGTGCTGGGGATGGCGCTGGGCAGGGTGGTGGGCATGGAGGCCACGGGCATGGCGGCCACCGCCACGGGGGGGCCCTGCACGCCCTGCACGCTGGCCTGGTGGCTCGCTGGGTGGCTCGCTTGGTGGCCGGGCGACGCGGCAGGCATGCTGGGCGTCTCCTGGTACATGGAGGCCACTCCCGGCGGGACGCCTGGTGGCACACCCGGGGGAACTCCGGCAACAGTGGCAGGACCATAGCCTAGAGGAGGAAGACAGAAACTCGACATTAACTCCAGTATTCTCCTTAAAGCACAAAAGACAACAACAATGGGTACTTCATTGAACACACACACACACAACAGAAAATTGACATTTGAATAGAAAATCATCTAGATAAAATCGGGTCCAGGGTAGTGATTTCCAGTTCAGATTTAAGAGCCCACACACTACAAGTACCTAGTGGTTTTGGGGATGGAGCTTTGCCCTTCCCCCATGACGGCGGGAGCGGGAGAGAGGTGCGTGGGAGAGGGGAGGGGCCAGTGGAGAGCAGAGACAGGGATGGGGGGAGGGCAGGGAACAGGATCTACGTCCTGCGTCACATCAGTGTTGACAATCGAGATTGTTCGGAACAGATTAGTAGCAGGTCGAAGACTGAAAGAATGAACAAGAAATGGAGCAGCATCTTACCTGGTTGATAGTAAGAGTGAGGTGCTGGAGGGGTATAGCTGGCAGAAACAGGAGGTGGTGGCGCTGGGCTTGTCTCGGGGACATTGCGGTTCCTCATGGAGGAGTACCGCTTAGGCCGGCTGCCAGCATTCTCTTGCATTCTAGGAGGCATGCTTTGACGCCTTTCACCGACACCATTGCTGGCACTCGCATTACCATCTAAACAAAAAAACACACATTAGTAATTGAATCGGGCAACAAGGGAGCAGAAGGGTGAGGAGGATATTTACTGCTTGGACGGCGTTGGTAGTCCCCGCCAGGCGAGGGCTGTGGGTGGGAAGCAGATATGCTCAGGTTGGCCATGTCCCTACTGACGCTCACGTCCTCGGGGTAGCCGTGCCGGCCGCCATCGCTGTCGTTGCCCTCGTCGTGCTCCCTGGGCTGGTCCCTGGGCTGCCTGGGGGCCTGGGAAGCCCCGCCTCCTCTCCTGAAACCGCGTCCGATGCCTCCGCGGCCTCGTCCTAGGCCTTGCCCGTTCGCCTGCTGCTCAGACCACCTGCCACCTACACCAGGAACAAGTTAGTAAAGCGCACGGCACTCCAGGCCGAAAAGCAAACTGCGCAAAGCAACGCACCCTCTCGGTCCCTGTCCTCCTCGCGCCGATTCCTGGCTTGTCCACCTCGTCCCCTTCCACGAGAACCGCCCCGCTCGATCACAGGGCCCTCCCCATCATTGTTTGCCTCTCGTCGCCAACCCTTCTTCTGATCATCGTCTTGCCTCGCATGAGCCTGGTTTTGGTGAGACTGATACTGTTGGTGCGAAGACCGCTGTTGCTTCTGTTGAGAGCCGAACGGAGCCACAACCTCTTTTGGGTTAGCGTTGAAAGTGCCTGCTACAGTTTTGGCGACAGGCACAGAGCCTGAAACTTTACTGCTGAAGGACGGTTGTGATGATCTTCTTTCCTCCCCATTTCCAATCTGCTTCGACAAAAATCAGATTGAACATTAAAACAAGAGTTGAGGGCGCATAAAAGAAATTAAGCGCCAAATAATTTGAAGCCTACCCCGTTTTCCTGAGAGCTGGAAAGAGCAGGGAACTCTTGTTTCATCGAACCGCTGCCACTTTCCTCATCACCACTGGCATTGTTGTTTCTGAAAGTACTACCAGGTCCACCCCCACGCTTCATCAGTCTAGGCTTGCGACCTTTTTTGACATCACCTTCTTTCTCTACAATGAAGGCACTCAAAGGTCTACTGTAGGCCTCTTCATCCTCCCAACTGCGCGTGTATTTGTTAGGACCACGGCTAAAGAAAAGTGAAGGATATTAGTGCAGGATTGAGGTTAAAGGGTCAACACTAGAATCACAAAACAAAAAATTGATAAAATTCTGCTCGGAACATACCCATAGCGACGTCTTCTCCTTGCCTTTGGTGGGGCTTCTTCATTGCGAATATCATAGCCGTATACACTAAGCAACTCTTCACGGCTTTTAGGAGCTTGATCCATTTCCTGAAATCGATCATGTGCCCAGCGATCCTCTTTGTCTTTCCACACCTTGCGACCGGAGTCCTTTCCTGTTTCTTTTCCATCTCGGCTATCAATTTTGGGGTCTTTGGATGGGGTCTCTTGCCTGAAAATATGGTTCATGTTACAAAAGGACGCCATGGAAAAAATCAGTTACTTCAACAAAAAAAATAAAATAGATGCATTACATGTCATCAGCAGTTCTGTCATCATGCTCATAGAAAGTGCCTCTTTTAGGAATGTACTGAGGGTTCCGTCTGTCCTCATCATCATCCAGCTTTTTCTCTTTTGAAGGTGAACTTTCCTATAGAAGCAGAAGAAAAATGTTGAACTTTGGAAGAGTGACCAAATATTTACAGATCAATAGCAATGCCAACGGGACTTGACTTACCTGCCCATCTCCTTCTTCTCGTTCATCATCAACTGTGACACTTTCTTGATCACTGTCAAGATCTTGCTGTTCATCATCATCGGGCGCTCTCTCTTCATCCGATGAATCGAGAGGCTGTACATTTGGTCCATCACCATCTCCCTCATCCTCCACATCTGCCTCATCCTCAACTTCACCCTCTACTTCGGGCTCAGCTTCCGCAACGCCTTCCTCATAGTCTGACAAGTGCTCATTCTCAGCAGCTTCTTCAGGGTCCTAAAATTGAAACAATAACCAAGTCAATAAATAACAAATCTGATGTGAATAATTTGTAATATTAACATAGCTGTACAAACAAATACATGTAATGCCTTTCTAGCACAGACTCTAACTATAATAAAATAGTTTCATCAAATTAGTGAATTTTAAGTCAGATGTATTAATACCTGCTCTCGTTAAAACTGTGCAGTAATTCTGACTAGCAAGTGAAAAAATTGAAAAAACTGCACAAACACGTCAAGATGACAAATGTAACTTTTTTACAGCAAAATGCCGCTCCCTCCCTAGAGGTAAAACCTTGACTGTGCCTACATTAACAATGACACTTAGAAAACCTGGTCACGTGCATAATAAATTTAGAATGCTTTTTTTATTTTTAAATTGTAGCAGATAAGAGAGAGAAGTGAATACCCTTCATCAGTCGGAAATAAAAGGGGAATAAGGTGACAGGGGCTAATCTGTCATAGTCAGTCTGAGTGCAATGCTACAGTTAGATTTGAAGAGCCCGAAAGTTAGGGTATTGTTTAATGTGACATAATAGAAGGACTGATAACGAAATAAAGTAAATATTGAGGAGTGAAGAATATATTTGACAGGCACAGGCAAAGTAGGTTGATAGGTTAGAAGACCTACTTTAAGATCTGTGCATCTAGGGCAAGCCTCTAGACGAAATCTGAGTATATAAGAAATGTCAGGAGAAATGGCGAATCTGAATTAATGTCTAGAGACTCCGAACTACTGTTTATTTACACCCCAACTGAATTTACGGCCGGTGTTGGTATCCCTGTACTAGAGTTAGGCCTAACTTACTGCTTCTGATACTTTTCCCGGCGTATCATAGTTAGAACACTGGGATAGTTCTTCTGAGTCTTTTGAAGAGTCGGCTTCTTTTTGTTGGTCGGCAACAACTTTTTCTTCTAAAGCCGACATTTTTTGGCGAGCCCGTAGATCAGCCAAAATAAGGTCGTTGATACGAACTAACCACGTTGTAGTGTACTTGACTGTTGGGCTGAGATTGGTGCCACAGGGTGGAGTGTAGCAGCGGTTCAAAACAATGCAGGTTTTTTGCAAAGTAGGTACCTTGTCATAGCTCTTTCCACAAGAAAAAAATATTTTCACCAAGAAATGAGTTTTTTGCCTTGCGATAAGGCCGCCTTCATTGGTTTTCTCAAGAAAACCTCTCTGATTCATCTCTGCCTAAGGATTTGAGGAGTCGAAGGGAGGAGGGGGCCGGGGGGAGGGGGTTTTGCAGCCAGCAGCCGGAGCAGACGACGTAGACAACAAAGCAAACCGAGGCGGCGTGGTTTATCACCAGAATCCTGATTCCAGCACACCTTTCGCTCTGCAGAAACAGTTTGGTGGACGCCAAACGACGTCCGGGATCCGCCAATGTGACGGCTGACTGTGATCGGTCCTGAAGCTCGACAGCAAACGGAGCAAACGGCTCGACAGCCAAAATGCCGACCATTGTGCTCCTGGATGTCTCCCTGTCAATGACCCGGCCGGTGCCTGGGCCGCCAGGGCCGCCAGGGCCAGGCCAGGAATCTCAGGAATCGGCTGAAACGTTCTCGAGACTGCAGCTGGCTATCCACGGGATCAATACCCTCCTTGACTACTTCAACTTGTATACAAAGCTGGAATTCGTATCTCTTGTAAGTCATGGAATGAGGTTTGGGTCGCAGCGTATCCGTCATGCGAATCTTCTGGCGCTTATCTGTGAAATATTTCTTATTTCTTTGCAGATGACGTACTCTTCGATCTGTGAAGAGCTTTGTCCATTTACGAGAGACTTTGATTCAATAAAACAGAAGCTTCAGTCTGTTGAGGACCAGGACAAGACCTCTATTGAGCCTGCACTGCATGCAGTGAATCGACTAGTTCTGAAAGAATGGGGTAGCACAACACCGTGTCATGTAAGCTCGCAGGTATTCTTGCGATCGTATTGCATCTCCCAATACATTTTAATTACATATGATGTTTTTTCGCAGGTGATAATAGTATCTGATGGGAGTTGCGGAGTCACAGATTCATCTCTCAAACATCTTATTGATCGGAATACAAGTCTTCATCGTCCTCCGTTACCGTTTGCTTTTCCTGGAAAGCTCAGTGCTCTTATCATAGCAAATCCTAGTGAGCCACAACTTACACACAACTTACAATTATTCAAGAGGCTCACTGACTTAGCGGGTGGAGATGGAGCTATTCACACACCTGAAGGTGCCTTGTCGATTTCTAGTGTCCAGACAATGGTACGGAAAATGGCAGAAACTGAATTTGTATCATATCAAGGCACTTTGAGGTGTGGTTGCCTTTCTTCAAAAATTACTTTATCACCTCATCCATTGGTAAGCTCTCACTGAATTGTTTCTTTTGCAGACTCACATTGATCCAAATTATAATTTATGATTTTTATTTCCAGCCCTATACCCATGTTAAAGACTTTTCCACTGAGACCTTCACAATAAGTGATAATATTGAAGTGTTGGGTTTTTTGGATTTGTCTGACATAGGTAGCCCTGCAGCTGTGTCAAGACATTTAATGTTGCCAATGGGCTCAGGGGTCTCAAACCATGCTAGCCATACAGATGCCAAAAATGAGGATTCTGATGATGAAAATCATGATGAGGGAAAGGTGTCCTCATTTTGTGTTCTTCTTCATGGGGCTTTAAAGGTGAGAATGAATAATTATGGCCTGCATTACACATTTTCCTCTTAATCTACATTGTTTTTAAGAGTTTCAATTTCATTCATTCACAAACTGCTTTCAGGTTGAAAACATGGCTGCTCTCTGTGAAGTAGCCGATAGATGGTTTGGAATTCTGTACTCATGGGCTGATAACAAGAAAAAATCAAACCTCATGCTTACAGTTCTTGAACCAGGAACAGACCCAATACCTTGGCTGGGAGATTTGGAACTGTTGGGCACAGTAGATGAGGGTCATGATGATGCGTCGCCTTTACCCTCTTTTCCTGTTAGGCCTGCTGAGAAGAGGAGTTATAGTCAAAGCACTGTTGCTTGGATTCGGCAAGCTGGTTTGCATTCTGATATTCAGAAAATACTTAGAAGTGCAAGAAAGTTACCTGATAAGACACAACATTTTTATAAGGTATTTATTGAAGCAAATATTTTTATCCTTTTATTGGTGAAAGTAAAGTCTACCCATTACTATACACTTACATTACAATAATTTTTCTTCAAATATTTAGGAGTACTATCAAATTAAATTTTAAATTTTGTTGTAAGTTCAAAGCATTAATCTTTTTATGCCTGTTTCAGGAACTGAATCGTGTTCGTAAAGCTGCTGTACAAGTTGGATTTTTGGAACTTCTTGATGGATTGTCTAAAATATTTGAGAAGGAATGCACTGCTTTGCCTGACAAAGCTCATCCAGACTGTGCGTTGCAGCTTACCCACTGTGCAAGTGTGTTAAGAGAACGGGAGGCCCGTGAACTTAAGTTTACCATCACTCCGTTGCGGACTTCTTTTACTAGCAATGATTGATCAGACGAACCGGTAGATTCATTCAGTGAAACTGATAGTCTACCACGAGAAACTACTTTTTCAGTTTTGTCGTATAGCTCTTTATCCCCTCATTTATCTCCATCTCGTTTGAGTGAAAGTGTGCAGTGTTCTTCTAGTGCAGTGAGTTCTCGAGGTCTTGTATCTGTCTTGAAAAGACGCCTACGTACACAAGAAAAATTTCCCAGTGCAGCAAGCAGTATTGAAGAAATAAGTGTACCCTCATCTTTACATGACGAGAAAAATGACAATCAGGTAGGAAGAACAAAGGGTATTGGCAAAGGAGGTGGCCGAGAAAGTGGCAGAGCCAAGGAAGCCAAGGAACCTAGCAGACCTAGAGACCCAGGGACAAATAGCCCATCCACTAAGGGCAAAGGTCGAAGTCGGAAGCGGTGCGCTTCTGGGAATGAGCTGCAGGAAACACCAGAACCCCCAGATTCAAAACGCACCTACCTGGCCACCAGTTCGAAAACCAGCGGTAGCCTTTCTCTCAAGGAGGCTGGGGGGTCCAGTGGGGGCTTGGGTGCAAAGAAGGCAGTTCCCCATACTGCACAACCTGAAATTCCGAATCTAAACAAACTGCATCTTACTGCAACTCAGAAGTATGGTTTGACTCGTACCAGCCTCCCTAAACTTGGTATTAGGCCTGGTTTAATGATTGATGAACGACCTACCATGCTTCTATCTGTGCTTGGGGATAGTAGTAGAAGTTCCCTCTTTATTGATGAAGCTGACTTGACTCATGAATCTTTGCACTCACAGATAAATGAATCGACATCTTCGTTTGCCTCATCTAGTCTGCAATCGAGGCTGGGGGAAAAATTTGTGGCAGGTTCCTCAAAGTCTTTGAATGTTAAAGAAACTTATTATAAACCATCACTTTACAGTGAATACTCTTTCCAAGAGTCTCTAGCGCCTCAGGCTGCTGCTGATCATCAATTTCATAGTGAGGAGAACTCTAAACAGAAATCCTCTGCAAATTATGCACAAACCCATCATTCAGTCATCCAATACGGTGGTTCGAGTGGTGATAGACAGGTTGAATCGGATTCTCGGTGGGCTTCCGCTTCCACCTCTCCACCATTTTCAAAGCCTATCGATCCAGTTTCGCTACGTATTGACTCTTCTAGTGATGATTATGGTGTGCAGCAGCAATTTCCTCAACGCAGTCACTTTTCTTCAGACTTCTTGGGTCAACATCCAAAAACTCCGCCATACTCAAAGTGTAATGTTCCTGAAGGCTTCACTCAGACATGTTCTGGGTACACTAATGATATGAACCGTCAACCCACACAATATGTGGGCAGTTGCCCTCCTCAGCAGAACCAGCATCAAGGCACCATTATTGTTCCACCACAATTTTCTCCCACTGCAGCACAACAATATTCCGATTTCCAAGAAAATATTGAAGCCTCCCGTTGCGGTGAGCAAAAGTATTGTGGTCAACAGGCATTGCCCGCCAGGAGTCAATCACAAGCTTCTGGTAATGCTAATTATCTCAATTCTGCATTCATGCCATCAGAAAATTGTAAAGTTGGAAATCAACAGACTCATCACCCTTCATCAGGGCATACATCTGAGACTATAACTTCAGGTCATTTATCACCTGAGGAACAGGAGTCTCCACTTGTAAATTTCACACAATTGATGTATTCTGAATAATGTCTATTTTTATTACTTTTACTTAATTTAAGTAATTTGCCTCTGACCAATATAAATTAGAAATAAAGAATGATACATATTTTGGTGGAAGATCGATATGTTTACTGAAGCCAAAATTTGAAGTCTCCTTAGTTGATGTTCTAATTGGTGTTTTGTCTGTAGAAATTGAACAATGTTCTTCTCTGATGTCCAAAGTGCTGTGGGATTGTGAAGCAGCGTTTACTAGAATTACCACTGTCTCATTGTCATCTCTGTAATGTTGCTGTAAACCATTTATAGTCCTCCCATGATCAGTATTACTAAAAATGTGTTGTTTTTTCTCCATGTGTCTGTTGAATTGTATGAATATATGTAAAACATTCTTGTGAAGACATGTGGCTTGAACAGCTCAAACCAGAAAATCACTGCTGCTGTCAAAACTTTTTTTTAAAGAAAAGGACACTGAGGGTTTGTTTCTCTTCTTTGATTTATTTTGTCCTTATCTTTTGCTATCACCGCCGGTACAACATGAACTTAACAGCCAATAAATAGTGTCAGCACTGGAAACCAGAGAGTTCACTTACTATAAAGTGTAGGTAGTATGCACTTAAAGGTGCATAGCTGTAAATACACGCCAGTTGTGAGTGTGAACACCTGCATAGTAACAAGTTTCACAGTTTAGTTTGCAGAGAAGTTTTCAAATCTCACCTCACATAATTGGATATTGGTAAAATACATATAAATACTGTACTGACATGGGTCAGGTATAAAAAGACGTGCCATCTAAAAGCAATGATTCCTGTGGCGGTCGCACACTCAATGTGACTCTCAACAAATATCAGGTGTAACAAAGAACTAGATGTAAAGTGATAAAAAATTATATTAACACACAATGCACTGCATGATGGATAAATTGCAAAAATGTTTTAATTTTTCCAAAATTTTCACAAAGTAATTTGTTGCATTTATAGTTCTATTTGTGTTACAAAAATAAGCCTTGCTTCAATCATTGTGACAGGCAACAAAATGCATACTCGTAACTAAAGAAAGCAGTATCACAAAATTTTTTTACCTCTTCATGAAAAAAAAAAAAAAAAAAACAACTACCATCTATTTAATTGATAGAACTCAAAGAATAATTTAATATGATTGTGATCTTTTGAATACAGTCTTAAATATTAGGAACATAAAAGACATCTAATTGCAAGCATCTTCTTTGGTGCAAGCAAGACAAAACTGTCATTGGTGCAACCAAATAACAATCTGCTACATGAACACATTCTGTAACATATACATGGAAATATCAACACTGAAGTCTTCATAACATATCAATATGGAAGATAACACAGGACATTTACGGGATACAAACTACTATACAGAACATGCAGGGATGACCATTATTCGGGAGCAACTTTTGACGGACGCTACCTTCAACTTATTAAGGTATGAGAGTTACTTAAGTTGTAGCCTAATGATAGTGAAATCTTTGCTTCTAAATTATGCCACAAAGCCTTGGATATCAGTCAATACTGCTAAGTAGGTGATTTGTTACCTAACGACAACTCAAGGGCTTAGACAGAAAATAGGCACTCTTTGCAAAAAAGGACCATCTACAGGTGCTCAAATGATTTAAGACTTACCATAGAAAAGTAAGCGTTTTAGTGTGAACATCACAGATCACAGGATTAGATACGTAAAGCTGCTTATTATTGTGAAAAGCAATACGTAATTGTCAAGAGGCGACATGCATACTCTGCTTACCCGGAGAAATATTATAACTCATATTTTTTCAAAATGCAAATGTTTACAAAAATACGAATTTCAAGCAATCTAAAATGATTTCAGAATCTACTCAGGCGACCTTTCAGGTAATCTATCAAATTATAACAAACAAAATTTGGAAAAATATTGTTTAAAAAGTAACTAACTCCAACTAGCTATGAACATCATGAAGTCTTTCAATGAAAACTCTATTAAAAATAAAGTGAAAAAAATTTGGAGGCATCCTCAGTGATTTTCCTCACATCCACGATTAAATGCAAAACATGGAATGAGTCAGAAGTGAGCGAAAGGAAACAACAATTTTTTTTACAATTGAAGAAAATGTGTTCAAAATATTAAAAATAACTGGCATCTATTATTAATATTCCTTAACAAATACAACAAGTATCTTAAAAAAAAATCAACTTAACACATGACTAAAATAGTTCCTGAGCCACTTGCAAAACAGAGGAAATGTCTCAACAACCTCAGCATTATGCACTACTGTACCTTTGAGTCCTATAGGACTCAACTGTAACTTAACCAGCACTTCAACTTCCACGAGCCTCATTGATAACGACCAATGACTTGAAGCTTTAAGAATACTTACAAATTTAATAAAGGAGAAGAAAGTCAACTAGTTTAAAAAAGAACTGTTGGTCAGTGATCTGAGAGGAAAGTCACTTGCGTCTCTAAGAAGGATTTAGAACAAGAGTTCCTAAACTCTGGAGTTGACCGCAATAATAAGGGTTCAAGAATACACTGACATAATATTTGTGCATAGGAGCAGCAGGCATAATTTTGAAAACACAAACTTGCTTGTAGTACTTCCGTATGTACACTAAAAAAACAACAGAAGTTTGTTTGTCCGTATTTCACTTAAAATATCCAACTAGTTTGTCAAGCACAGTTTATTTGACAATAAAACAATAAAAGCACTGTATCAAAAATAGTGGGCCATTCTGGTCAATGTGCAATGTCCACACAGGTTTTAGGATTGTACTTGTGCCTTGATGCAAGGCAGCCAACTGCATTGGATCACTTCCAAATTCAAATTTTACTCTATTTCGTCTTCATATTGAATAACACCCTTATAACGAGGAAGCTGAGAATACTTCAGTCCAAGCCTTTCAGCTATGTCTTCAAGGATGTCCAAAACCTGTAAGAGAATAAAAAAAGAACGGATGAAAAATTTGTAAATAAATGAATGACATTTCTTGTTTGGAATTAACACTACCACAGTTAATGCAAATAACTCACATTGTCCAACTGTTCCTTGGTATGGGCAGCTGAGAGACAAAATCTGATTCGCCCTTCCATCAATGGAGTAGCTGGGAAACCTACACCCACGGCTGCAATCTTCTTACTCACTAAAGTTCTTACTACTGCCCTGTTTAACAAAGGAAGCAATGGAATATTGTTGTATATAAATGCATACATTGAAAACATTGTATGATTATCAATGAATGTAAACCATAAAATTAAGCTTACCCAATTTTGGAGAACATGTAAACAAGTAGAGGGACAACAGGAGAATCCTCATTGCCATAGATAATGACGCCCATCTGGTGGAGACGCCGTCGGAAGTATCTTGTATTACGTGCCAACTGCATTACTCTTTTCTGACCTAAAAAGATTTCAAAACTAATAAGAATTTCTGTCTTAAAATGGACATTTGAAGGGAAAATTGAGCCAACTACCTTCATGAGTTCCATCTTCTCCCATGATTATGCGCATTGAAGTGATAATCTGCTGTGCAACAGGGGGTGACATGGAAGATGCATAGCAAGCTGCATGACTGTTAACACGGAAGTAGTCAACCAGTTCCTACAAGAAGACACACAGAGATGTAGACCAGGAAGAAAAATAGGCTCTGGAATTCAGTGAAAAAATTGGTCTCTACCTTGGAGCCAGCAATGTACCCTCCAGCTGAGCCAAAGCTTTTGGTGAATGTTCCCATTAAAACGTCTACATCATGGGGATTAACACCGAAATAATCCACAACACCTCGTCCTCTTGGTCCCATGGCTCCAACACTATGAGCTTCGTCCAAGAACAGGTATGCCTGAAGCAAAAAGAAAAAAAGGGTAAATTAAAAAAAATTAAAAAAAATAATAATTTATAATTTGATTTTTGCAATATTGATAGAAACAGGCCACTTAAGACAAACCTTGTATTTCTTCTTTAGGGCAATAACCTCAGGGAGATGCACAATAGAGCCTTCCATACTGTAGACTCCTTCTGCAACAATGAGAATCTTCTTCCATGGTACGTGAGTTTTAGGCTGACCCTGGACAACTGCATTGCGTAGAACTTTTTCCAAGTCTTTCATGTCTGTAGAGAATAGTTTTAGAAACATTAAAGTCAGACAAGACTGACAAAGTAAATACAGAGTCACCATGTTGATAAACTCACTGTTGTGCTTGAAAACTCGGATTGTGGCACCAGACAGTCGCAAGCCAAGGATGAGGGATGCATGGTTTTTCTCATCGCTGATCACCAAACACCCAGGGGACAATATGCATGGAAGATTTAGAGCATTGGTCGCGAAGCCCATGCCAAAAGTGATAGCTGCCTCCACTCCCAGAAAACGAGCAGTCGTTTCTTCTAGCTCCAGATGAATAGGACTTGTGCCTACAACACAGGGTTAGTTTCAATAATGCAATAATTGAAGCTTCATTGATTTAAAAAGAGGATAAGTTAAGCGCATACCGAGTTCATGTCGAGTGCTGCACAAAGAGCATGCATATTTCTTGATGGACTCTATCGACTCCTCAGCGCAAGGACCAGACGCTTCAGCAAATCCAAGATAGTTGTAGGATCCTAAGTTCAAGCATTTCTTTTCAAGTCCAGTGTACTCAAAAGTCCACCCATAATCATTAGTTATTCGATCTTTTAAGACAACTTCAGCACCCGGAACACTGCATATTGGTCTATTCCAGCAATCTCTAATACGCCTGTATACATATCTTGAATAAAATTGTTCAAATCTGTTATAGAGAGGAACATAGCCCTGAAAAATAAAGTAAAACAAAGTTTTAAGTAAGTTAATTGATCAAAATTTCACAAATACATGCAAGAATTTTTTATCATTTTTCAATTGGAGGTAAGAAGAAAACCAAAACTGATACCTTTCGGTTCTTTTCTTTGGCAACAGGAGGAGCAAAGAGAAATTGGTTTAGATATCCTAAGACAACCAGCAAGTAGAATCCCATATATGTCATGACAGCAGTGTAAAGTGGCACTTCTTCAAAGGACTCTTTGGAGCGAATCTTTTCTTTTCCCTTGGAATGGACATCTGTAGCCATGCCATTGCGAACACCCTGCACAAAAATAAAAATAAATTAAATAACATTTTTGGTTTGTTTATCAATATTATTAATCAAGACAGAAGCGGATCTCCCCCCTCTTGTTGGTAGTGTATGGGTGTTAACTCAGTCTAGCACTACTGTCCTAATAGAATGTGAGGTCATGTATGACTTTCAAGTGATAAAAGAAAGTATCTGTACAAAATTCTATGTTGCTCACTAGCTTTTCAACTCAGTCAAAGTTTGTTTTCTGAAATTGTCCATCACCCAACTAATTTATAACGTAGAAAACAAAGCTTTGTGCCCCTGATTTGAATGTCTTGTGCGTCGCAAGACTTGACACAGCAGCCTTCGGCTCTGTGACTGACAACCCGACTGTCATATCCTGACTTGCTTAAGAAGCTCCTGGGGAAGACAGGATCACGAGGAGTCGACCAATTCCAATGCAGTGGAACAGAAGGACGAACTCCTAACCTGTGCCCGACTGGGACTAGGACCGAACTTGACAGGGACTGCTCGGAGAACAGTGCCAATGAGAGCGTCGCGGGGCGGCAAGGGGGCGGCCGGGCGCCGGTTCCGTCACCGCGGCGACGCCCTTTTTTTCTAGGCCCTGCTTCTCTAGGTCTAGGCTTAACCTGCCCTCAAAGGGTTGGGTACGGACACCGCCCAGTGGCGCTCTCTGTGCGCACGAGCCGGCGACGGCAAGCGACTTACGGGGCTGAGTCCATTCTTCCTGACGAGCTTCACGCCGTTAGCCTTGCCGTTGGCCACGTTCGGGGAATGCTTGCCATTGGCGCCGTGGATCTTGAGTTGACGGGCGCCGTCAAGAAGTCCCTCCGTGGCCATGTTTAGACGCAGCAGGCGGAGATGTCCCGCCGCGGCCTTCGCCTTCTGCTTCTGCTTCGCACCTGCAGTGCGGTGCCGCGCGCAGCGCTGTGTCTTGTAGCGGCAGCTGTCGGAACCAACACCTCCTGCGCTCTGCGCATGTGCGGCTCGGAAGAGCACCAACTGTAAGCAGAAAACACAAATTTTCTGTCACAACTCGCGGCGCGGAGTCGCGCAAGGGAAATTCCGTGTCCATGTCCGTGGGCGTAACCGGACCAGTTTCGGACGCGTTTTGAAAACAGAAGCGTCTTCGGTGTTGTCGAGGCGTGTGTGAAAAGCGGGGAAGGTTCTTGTGAAAGAGGTGGGGGCCGAAAAGCCGGGGAGGGGCGTTGTGGAGGAGGTTGGTGACTCATCTTGTCCGGATCGGATGTTGGAGGCAGACTGCAGAGCCGGCCCGGCAGCACAGCCAGCAGCCGCCATCCGCCATCACCACTCGGCACTCGATTGTTTTCCTGTCTGGTGTGTTGGTGTTTTCACGTTCGTTTGACAGTTACCCCGTTCGCGCTACCTGACGTTCGGCCGTCGCCGACCCGCAGTCTCGCAGTCCGGCCCATTCAACTAAATTCTTGCGTCAGCTGCTGGACAGCTTGGAGTGATCAGTGAACTTATCGGACTTGAGAAAGGGTGAATCGCATTCTGCAAGGATGGATACTGAAGGTAAGGCGGACCTGCACACAATCTCGAGCTCTAGCCCCTCCCAGCCCATGCGAAGGGAACACGACTCGCTGGACGATTTCGAACATTTGGAGGCGTACGCCTACAAGGGGGATTTCTCGCCCTCGAGTGAGAAGGAGAGAACCATGAACCCGCAGGACGTGTTACATGAGGACTTAGCGGCGCAGAAATTGGAAATGTACCCGGAGCGCGATGACACTGCCGACTTTATTCAACCCAAACAGTCAGGACATGATTTTGGTTTGGATTTTCCAGAAGCGAAGGCGTTCAAGAGTGAGCTATCCCCGAAGCACGACCCCTTGGATGACTTCCTTGGTGGGGGCAGTCGTCTTGCTGAGAACCCTCAGCACTTTGCCGAGCCACTCAGAGACGACAAACGCCTCCACGAATCTCCCTCACCAGCTGGCAAGGACATCATGGATACTATGTCGTTCTTACATCACGAGTCTCAGCCGCATTTCACTCCTGCTGCTGGAGACAATTTTATGGATCGTCAGTTCTCAGGATCTCCTGTTGAGAAAGAAGATTATAGTCTCGAGGATGAGGTGATTCGCCACGAAACTCCATCTCCAGACCTATTACCCGAAACCAAACCCCAGCTCCCTGCTTTCAATGACCCACTGGATGATTTTGGATTCTCTCCCAAGAAAAGTGCTCCTCCACCAAACCCAGATCCTCTCGAAGATTTCTTCTCCAAACCTTTGCCCAGGGAGCCTTCGCCTGATCCTTTCAGGGAGCCCTCACCTTCGTCATTCCGTCAGCCTTCTCCTGTGGTTGTCAGGGAACCCTCCCCTGAGCCTTTCCGAGAGCCCTCACCTGTCAGAGAACCCACCCCTGTCCGGGATCCTACTCCAGAGCCTCCTCCAAAGCCCCAGGCAGCACCCATTCCGTCTTTCAAGGAGTCCGAGAAGAAACCTGAGAAGAAGGAAGTCAAGGAGCCTGAACCTAAACCTGTGGTTTCCAAGCCCTCCTCACCACCACCTGCACCTCCAAAGAAGGTCGCTTCTGGTGATTGTAAGAGCTGCGATGGTTTAGGTGAGTCACTATTATTCAGTTCTCGCTTTCAATGGTGAAGGACACACTGCTGCCTGTATTAAACCGTGTCTTATGATATGGCTGATAACAAGAGCTTCAAAACTCCTATGCGGTAGAGTCATCCTGCTGCAATTTGCGCTTTCGATGTTGCCTGTGATTTGACCGCTCCACTATTGTACTGTCCATGATGTGGTGGGTGGCCTTGAGTTTTGCTGTGGGATCCCAAGGGTCGCTGTCCGGCCCGTTGGGCCCTAGGCCCTGGCCGTACACCGTGACCACGCCGAGCTGGCGGGATGGCGCCTCCGCCGCCCCGCCCCGCCCCGCCCCGCCCCGCCCCGCCCCCTCGCGCTCCGCGGCGTGGCTCCGCGGCGTGGTTGCCGCGGTGCTTGGTGGCGGCATGGCGGTTTGACACGGCGCTGGGCATCAGGGCACGGCACGGCCAAGCCGCCAAGCCTAGCGTAGCCAGGGTCACTGACAGCGAGGGGGGTGGGGAGGGGTGGGGAAGGGAGCGAAGGCACGGTTGCTACCGGCGCCGCGGCTGGACTGGGCCGGACTGGACTGGTACCCCGTGTACTCAGGTGCACTCGCACCGCGTTCTGACGGCCGAGGGCCGAGCTGCGCTCTCCTCCAGCAAGCTCTCCAGCCTGGAGGCCCTGGAGGCACGGAGCTGGAGGCGCTGGAGGCTGCAACGTTCGCACGCTTTCGGCGGCTTTCGGCGGCGGCTCGCTGTGTCGCAGTGTTGCGTCACCATCGCCGCCGTGCGCTGAGCTGGCCGTCGAGGCTTCGCAGGCTTTGCAGTGGGGTGACGCACCGGCCGACCATCTCGACGTGACGCGGGGAACCAAGCACCTCCTCTGCGGGTCGCGGGTTCGAGCCTCGAGTCCCGCTGCCGTCCGACGTGCGGTGGGGATTAATTTTCGCTCGCCCTGTCTCTGTCGCACTCATGGGGAGAGGGTGGACTTGGTGGACACTGTCTAGGCGGTCCGAAAGGGAGTCGAATCGCGTCTTCCGCCACGCCCATGCCCCTCGCGGCCTCCAATCGGGTACAGCGCGTACAGCGCTTACAGCGGGCCGTCGGATCGTTTTCGGACCGATGACATCACGGCGAACCGGCCCGCCGGGCCTGCCGGGGCCGCGACGCCCATGTCGATGACGATACCCTGCCAAGCCTGCCAAGCGTCCAGGAATCGGAGAGGCGACGCGATAGCCGCCACGAGGCAGCCGGCTGCTGCGTCTGTCTCATCGACTTTCAAGTACTGTACCGCTTCTTTCGCTGTTCTCGAAATGCCGGCGTGCGTTTCCCTGTCTCGGCGGCGCCCGCCTGTCTCTCTAGACGGATGCCTAGACGGCTGCCTCTCTATACGGCCGTATCTACAAGGCCGCGGCGCCGGGCTCTCTAGACGGCGCCTGCCCCTCTAGCGTCTCTCGGAGGGGCGCGAGAGGCGGCGTGTATTTCTGGCCGCGGTGCGCGGTATGCGCGGTGCCTCGCGGAGCCTTATGGAGCGGTGCGCGGTGCCGGGCGGTGCCTGGTCGGGCCGTGCCTGTGCATGGCTCTGCCGGCCTAGCGGCCGACGGGCCTTACGTGCGCGGTGTACCCCAAGCGGGCTAAACAAGGAGGGACCGAAATTCCGGCGACTGTGAAGCAAAGCAGGTATCGAAGGAGGACGCCCTTCGACGCGGCTAGCACACTGCGAAGCGTGCGTTCTGAATTTCTGCCGTTTTCTACTCTGGCGCGATGAAGAGGTTTCCTGATTCTCGTCGGCGTCGGGCCGGCCTCCGGACGGACACGAGACACCCCTTGCAGGGCGGGGCTGGAGGAAGCGGCTCTCGAATTACCGCGCCCCCCTGGGCCTGGCCCTGGCCCTCCTGGCCCTGGGGCGGGGCGCAAAGTGGCGAGCAGGTAACAGCTGGGTGCAGCTGGCTGTGTGCAGAGCCGCGCTGGTGGCCGCGGGGCCGCGCACTAGGCCAGCGGGGCGTCAGCGGGGCGGCCTCGTGCACTCCGTGGAGCACGACGGGGCGGCGTGCCGCGGCGTGGAGGTGGAGGGAGGGCCAGTGCATGCACCTCATACACGCCGGAGCTCCAGACTTAGCCTCGTCTGCCGCGAGGCTTTCGCGCTGTCGATGACGTGGAGCAGCGGCATCCTGACCGCCTTGCCGCGGTTTTCCCACTTTCAGTGCCGCTAACGCCCCGCCTCGCCCCGCCCCGCCTCTAGCCGCCGCGCCCTTGTGTGCCTTGCGCCGCGTTGCGCGTCGGGCACTACTTTATGGCGGCGGGGAACGAATTGGACAAGAAGGGCTGGGCGGACCGTCACCTGGACTAATTGGCCTCCGTTTTACGGCCCCGAATGGTCCGGGAACGCCTCGGGAACACGCCCTGGCGGCGGTGATGATACGACGGTGACGTCACGGCCGTCCTTATCTTGAGCGCGCGTCGCGCGTGCGTCGGCCCAGGACGAGGCCGTCGTGGGCGCGCTGGTTAGTGTGGCGTGGTGATCGACGACCTTTGGGGCCTTTCGCGTGATTGGTCGACGGCGTCCTCGTTCGGTTGACGGCGTCCTCGGTCGGTTGCCGCCATGTTCCTGGAGGAGGGCGAGCGCCACACCGTGCTGCACATGCACCAGTGCCAGCATGGTGATCATGGAGGCCACGGAGGCCATGCAGGCCGCGCGGGGCTCCACGCGTCCGCTCCCTCCACGCTGCCGCGGCCCAAGCGGCCGGCTCGGCCCGCACTGCAGCGCCGCGCGTCCGCCCCCGGGCTGGCCGACCTGGCCCAGCTGTCCGGTGAGTGGCGACGACGTCGTCGACGTCCTGCCCAGCAGACTGATTCCGATGGTCTTGTCTCTCTCGCACTCATGGGGAGTCCCGTACCGGTGCGAGAGAGACAGCGCCACTTTGCAGAGTATGAAAAATGGCGCGGCCGTGCGCGCGTCGTCGCCGATGCCTTTGTTTGCCTCCAGCAACAAGCTCGGGGCGTGCGGGGGCGCGGCGGGGCGCGGCGGGGGTAGTTTTGCCGGGACGCTACCCTCGGCTGGGGGAGGGGCGGCGAGGGCGGGGCCGCTCGATAGCGAGGCGGCAGCATCTGCAGCCCCCCGAGGGGGAAGGCCGGGGCGCGGGACGGCCAAAGGCTCGGCCAAAGGCGAGCCCAGTGCCGTCCTGGTGCACCACTGCCTTTTGGTGCCGATGTCGCCTTCTGTTTGGGGTTTCTAGGTGAATGGCTAGGGCTGGCCGCCCCGCCGGGGGGACGGACGGGCGGACAGACAGACAAGCAGGCAGACGGACAGACCCCGGGCGCAAGGGGTGCGTGCAGGACGGTGCGGGGCGTGGCGCCGGGGCCCCTCGAGGGGTCGGCGACGCCTGGCGACGCCACGGGGGCGGCGCTGCCCGCAAGTTGTGCAACCCGGCCCCTTCGGTGTCTCTCTCGCACTCCAACGGGGCGCTCCATGCGTGCGAGAGAGACACAGAGAGGTGGCGCAGTTTCTGCCTTTGTGTCGACCTGGGCCCTCTCGACTCGGGAGAATGAGTGGCAACCAACGTGGTGAACTGAAGGAGCAATGAAAGCCTAATTCAGTTGAAACCGCGGCCACGCTGCGAGCTAGGAAGCGTGCAGTGCGGACGGACCCACCCGTCACGCGACGATACCCCGCGCCGCCCGCAGTGCGGCTTTTAGTGCTGCCGTCGCGGGTGGCGTTCGGGCGTGGGGTATCGCCGAGTCCTGTAGTGCGGGTACTCCCGTGCGTTGTATCGGCCGGGCCCTGTCACTCATTGTGAGTGAGTGAGTGAGTGAGTGAGTGCCGTGCGTAATGGCCCCGTGGCGGGGCGTGAGCGTGGCGGCTCCTTGCATGGCGTATCGATTGGCGCGGTGCACCGAGGCGCGTGCCACCTGTCCCTCCCCGCGCGCCGGGGAAGGGGAGAGGGGGGGGAAATCATCGGTGCGAAACGGTTATTGCAGACGGCCAGGCCGGTCGGCGGCCGAGGCGGTGTTGCCGAGCACGGAGCTGGAAGGCCTGGAAGGCTGGGAGGCGACGCGAGTGTCTGGAGCGACCGGAAGGGGGCGGCGGCCGGGCCGGAAGTCGTGCCGAAAAAGGGAGTTCCTACTTGCGGTTGACTTTGCTGGCCTTTCTCGCGCTTCAAGTTGGCACACTCGCTGGACTGGTCGTCAAGCTTCGCGGTTCCGTCCCCGACCTCAAAGTTAAATACAAAACAGTTGGAGCGCGCGGAAATATCGTATTCTTTATTTCTTCCGAGTACTGGGGGGACCGGCCACCGTGGAATTTTTCTGTACACTCAAGGTATAGGCCTTCATTTCCATCCTCTTTTTAGGTGCCCCCAACGTGCTTAAAATGATCTATTATTTCGCAAACAGCCCAACGCGATGGGCATTTCCGCAACCCAGTTAGTAAAAGACGCGATGATGCCCGTGATAAAAACAACCAAGTTCAAATTGGAAAGTGTTCGCGGCTGGGGGCAAATGGCGGCTTTGCGTGCAAGTTTCGTTCTCTCTCTTTTTTTATGGCTAATTGATGAAATGGGCACGTGGAATGAATATTCGCCGGGCCGGTTCGCCAAAGCGGATCGCCGCGTCGTTCTTCCTCTCTCTCTCTTGCACTCATGGGGCGTTCCGTAAGAGTGCGAGAGAGAGAGAGAGAGAGAGAGAGAGAGAGAGAGAGAGAGAGAGAGAGAGAAGAGAGAGAGAGAGAGAGAGAAAGAGCGTGCGGAATGCGTCCGCTGCGGCCTGGCCTAGCCTAGCCTCTAATGGTAATGGTAACGTGAGGGCGGGCCACCCGCTCCGCCGGCGTGCGTTGTGGAGGCCGCGTTGCCTACCCGGCGGACGGCAGGCGCTCGCCTCTCCCTGATCTAGCCCTGCTACTCCCTGTCGTCCCCTTCGTTAGTCAACCGTTGACGTTCGGGTGCATCTACACGATTTCGTCTGTAAGACACGTGCAAATGCCAGTAAATTCGTACGCAAATTTCCGAACACGATCTTCTTGATGCTCCCAAACGTCAACGCGTTGCCGACGAAATAATCGGTCGGAGAGTGAACACTGCAAACCCGTGGCGGTTAAACCGAATCGCGCTCGCAAACTGATTTAATGGTGTCCCTGCGCTCTCGCGAGGCTCGCCTGTTTGGAGCACGCGCGCGTTTTGAATTTGTTGACTTTTTTTAAAACTTTTTATGCGGTTGTTATGCTGGAGTGAGGCATCCTTGACCGCGCGGCGTCGGCCGACAGCGCGGTGGCAATTTGGCTTGGCGCGGCACGGCATGGTGCAGTGTGGTGCAGAGAAAGGGGTCGCCGGGCACTGTAAATTTCTTTCGGCTAATCCCGTCAAAGATTTTCGTGAAACGAAGTTCCCTGATTATCTTTTGGACCCATAAAATGCGGCGGCATATTTTACTATGAATCATGGAAATGTTGCTGATTTACCGGGATCCTTGCGACTATTTCGTGAAGATGAAATAATTTTTTTGCGGATTTGCGGAGACCCTTGTTATTTTTTTTTTTTTTTTGAAAGTGGAAGTGAAAGACTTTTTGAGAGAGTGTGTTGGGAGGCGTTCTGGCCAACCGGCGGCGTTTTCGTGGCGGGTGGGATATGGCGTGGCGATCTTTCGCTGGGACAGCATGCATGGGAACGGAGCGACATCGCATGATGCAGATAGGACATCGCCTCGAGCCTCGGCCCTCGGCGTGTGTGCATTTTATTTTTTAGTTGTTTTTATTCTCCCCTCCCCCTGTCGAGACTCGTGCTTTTTCGTGTGTTTCCTCTCGGTGCGGCAATAGTGAAGCGGCGGCTGTCGTCTCGTTGGCATGGAGAAAGCGCCAAAATTGTTTTAAAAAAAATTTGATTTTTTTTTGCAAAAATTTTGTTTTTATTAATTTTATCAAATAGGTAAGCTTTACAGGGATTAGTTTTTTAAATTGCGGAGTGCCCTGTGTAACGAAGAGGGACCTCACTTCGAGGGACCTAAATACTTCGTGCGGTTCTGCAGTGTCCGAAACGTAAAATGCGGCATAGCAACCTCGGTACCATTTTGACGGATTTCGCTCTTTTTTTCCCGCTCCGTCATGTCCGGCACTCGATGAGTCACCCTCGTCGAGGATGTTCTTCCGAGTGTGCCTCGCTATCTTGTAAGCGATAGCGCCACCTGACGTCGCCCCGTCTAGCAGTGCAATCTCGAACGCCTCGAATTGCATCCAATGTCTACAGTTCTGCCAACTATTATTATTTTTAAAACAAGTTTTTCTTAATGCTTTGGGTGGCCAGGCCCTTTTTGGAAAGTCGCAGCAGTTGTTTCAGGGGAGGGAAGAAGAGAAAGGGAGAGGGGGTGGGGTGTCTCTTTGAGGTGCAAGAAAACTCGCCGAAACACCGAAGACAATGCATTCTTCATTTTCTCATGAGCCTTCCCCCCCACAAATCTCAAAGATAATTAGCTTTGCCCCAAAAATAGACCGGCTTTGAAAATTCTAGCTTTCAAGAAGACTGATTGCTGTCTATCCTTCAGTTTCTAGTTGAAATAAATTCGCGCCCCAGAAAATATACGACGTGCTCAGTGTCGGCGTTAAAAATAGATGTCCCAAGGGATAACTTTTTTGTTAGTGCGAAGTTTAGTTATCTCCGAGGGTTTCCCGAGCGGCTCGGCGTGGTTTTATAGGTTTATGTACTTTAAGCCGGTGCGCAGTAGAGTCCTGCCGTGTTCGTTCGCTTTGCGAGCGGTAAAGTCCTGGCGACACTGCCCCCACGTGACTCACCTGGCTCAGGCTGGGCGGTCCATTTACCGGCGCGTGGTGTGATGTATCCAATGCGTCGACGCACTCTCACACACACACTCGCACGTATTCGCGCACTGACACAGTGTCGCGTCGCGCGGGGCTGGCTCCCACGTCGGATGGCCGACTCTCGTCTACTGTCTCTCGGTTCGTGCAAACGGCGGTGTGGTCGCGGTGTGGCGCCGCCACGACAGTGGACGGGCAGACAGATAAGCGGACAGACGGGCGCTTGGCTCGCGGTCTAGCTGGCGGTGGGGCAGGGCAGGGCGGCCCAGGGAAGGGCCCGGGCTCCGTGATTGGTGGTGGCTTTCCATTTTAAATGGCTGGCAAGGCCGGCGGGGCTTATTTCGGACCCGGCGGCCCACAGTGGGCCAGAAGACCGGTGGAGGCGGCCGAAACTCTTGACGCGTTTTGAGCCCCAGAGTCGCAAAATGGGACTCGAACCGAACGTGTGACCCCACCAATGGATTGCTCTCCGAACGAGGAATCCATCGGTGGGGTCACACGCTCGATTCGAGTCCTGTTTAGCGACCTACAGCGCCGAAATGGTCCTTGGGAATGGCTCGGCTGGCGCACTGGGGCAGTGTTCGGCCGGACGGGCCGGACGGGCCCTGTGGACACCGCTTGGGCCTCAGCCGGCGTGTTACGTGAACGCTCTGCCCGCCAACACACACTCACAGTGTGACATGCGAGGTGATGCACCGCGCAGGCCGCTACGTCGAACCGTGTCTGTGGCCTCGCCGCTGCTGGTGCCCCCATCCAGGCACGGGTCCAAGAGTGGGAATAGGGCGGATTCCGAACGGGGGCTGTTGTCGGTCTGACTCTCTCGCACCTATACGGGACGCCCCATGAGTGCGAGAGAGAGAGAGGGGGGGCCTTATTCTCAGTTGGCTGGAAGGCAGGCAAAATGTGGCTCCTGTAAGTCGCCCCCCCCCCTTGAACCCGCCCCTGGATCCGCCCTTGTGGTCGCCACTTGTGGACGCCGGCCCGCGGTCAGGCGTAGTAGTACGTATTGGTGTTGTGGCGTGCCGGGACATGCGTCAAGGTTACGCTGGGCGAGCATCCTCGCGGGACCGACCGGCACACCGACATTATTACAGTTATATTGCACACTGATTAATTTCGGACAGTCGTTAGGACTCTCTGTCCCTTTCCCACTCTCGTGCGGGTGTGCGAGAGAGACAGAGACAGACAGAGCGGACGAAAGTTTTTGTGCATACGCACTGTACCGGATTCGTATCTAGACCGACCCAGAACGTGCATCTTGTGCCGCGGTGTCCTCCACTGTAATCTGTGGCAGAAATTGAACGGCCTTCAGGAGACGCTTATCTCTTTTGGGATTACAAGTGCGGCACTTGGCGCGTGTTTTTTTAAATTTTTTTAATAAAGTCAGTGACAATAGGGAGAGCGCTTTCTCCCCGTCGAACCTCAGCAACTTGGCCGAAAGCCTCGAAATGAGAAACCCAGCACGGGTATTCGAACCGCGGAACCAGCGCGTGTCAGAGTGTCGCGATGTCACGCGGACTGTGTGACACATGTGACAATCCCACATCGTGCGACGTGACGTGGCGTGCCGGTCGGAGCTTCGCGGCTTGGCGTTTCGGCGCGTTGTGATCGGTCATCTCTCTCCGGGCCGCACGGCCGGCCGGCCTCGCTCTTTGTCTCGGCGTCGAAAAACGGACAATAAGTTGCTCGAATGTGCCATTGACACCGGACGCGTTGCGGGGCCGGGAAAGAGGACGACCGTTTTGAGTGGTTTGGAGCTGGCTGTGTTGCTGCCGGACGCGCCTGTTTGGAAAAAGCGAAAAAAGCGGCGGATAGTGCCTCAAAACCTCGACATTTTTGTTGCTCATTTTCACGGTTTAAATCTAATCCATACTGTGGTATTGCCAGGAATACCGGTTCATTCCCAGCAGATGGCTCTACCGTGTCGCACAAAGAAATACAGACTCTACACCTTGATCAATACCGTTCCGAAACGATTATGTTTATTTTTTGTTTCCAAAACGTCGCAAATTTGCCATTATTTCTATCAGTGTACTCTCTGTTTCTGTGTGTGCGCATGACGATGGCGTTCTGTGCGCACACACATACACACACACACACACACAGCCTTTTTACGCCCTTATCTCGCGCGCCTCGGATCAGGCAGCCGTCTAGTAGTCCTCTAGTCGGTCTAGGTTTCCCTCGTTAGCACCAGGAGGCTACCTCGCGAAAAGGCGGGGCGGGGCGGGGCGGGGCGGGTGAAGGTGTGCCGTGCCGTGCCGTCTGGCCGTGGCCGTCCACTTGGCGCCTCCGCGTTCGCGTTTGTCTGTCTGTCCCTTCCCCGGATTATTTGACCGGGGCGTAGACCAGAGGCTGTCTCTCTCGCACTCGCTAGCCATGAATGCCCCGCTTGTTGGGAATGGCGCTCCTTTTCCCACCGAGCACGCTGCTGCTAGCGCAACCCCACTGCAACCCCTACCACCCTCGCAATGGGCCGTGGCGCCGTGGCGTGCACTGGGGGAATTTGTGGCGTCCTCTCTTGATGAAGATTTCATTTCTCATTTCCCCCGGCAAGGAAGCCGTCTAACTTATTAACGACTTTGTTGTCACGCCGGTGCAATAAAAATAGCAGGTTTGATTGAAATTTCATCAATTTGAGATGAATCACCATTTTCGTGTGATGAAAATGGTGCAAAAACGTCATCCGAGATATTTTTTCTACTCATGAAGTGACTAGTACCGATTTTGGCAGTGTACTGTACACTGTGGAAAAGAAACTAGTTTGTCGAGGGCTAGGTCGGCGCAGTGGAGCGTCCTGAGCTCGGTCCTGGAGGAATGCCCTTCACACCTCGCGAGCTTTAGCTTTACTGCCGCGCCTTTCACCGAAGTAACTGGAAGTAACGGCGATGAGCGCGGAAATAACTGTTAACACTCTGCAAAATTAATTCGAATTTCCCCGCGAACGTCGTGTATTCCGTCGATTCCGTCAGAGGTGGAAAAACCGTCGAGGCAACGCGAGGTTCCATTGTCGCGCGCGGTGACGGAGTTTGCGAGTTCTTTCTCCATTTTTTCCCCTTTCTGAAATAAATTCCCTCTCTCCGGTTTGAATTGAAAGTGGGAGTCGAGTCCGCAACATTTCCCCGCTCCTCCCTGCTGCGCGCGTTGCCGAGTGGGTGAACGAATGCAGCGGCGCTGTGTCGCGGCTTCGACCGGAGTTTTGAGGGGGGAGGGGGGGACTGCTTTTAGAACCCTCAACAGTCGCCTACACTGTCAGCATGGCGGTGGGTGACGATTTCAAGGCCCGCAATGTCCACTTACAGTGTGCGGGCCTGCGGGCTGGGTGGACGACGCGGCTGACTCGAGCAGGACGCGGCGACTCGGCCCGGTGGCGACTGTCTGGCTTGGCGCGCGCCGCCCGCGCCTTCGCCCAATCCTCGCACGCCGCGGCACCAGATATTGATCAGCGGCGTTCGGATTGGGTTGACCTGTCGCCGGTTCGAGTATCGCACAGTGGGCCGGAAGACCGGCGGAGGCGGCCGAAACTCTAGACGCGTTTTGAGCTCCAGAGTCGCTAAATGGGACTCGAACCGAACGTGTGACCCCACCAATGGATTGTGCTCCGGACGAGGAATCCATTGGTGGGGCCACACACGTGCTCTTAGAGTCCTCATGAGCGACTCTGGAGCTCAAAGCGCGTCTTGTCCGCCTCCGCCGGTCTTCCGGCCCAACGACTGTCGGAATCGCTCTGCTGTCGCAGCGGCCTCTTCCAGTGTGCCTTGCCCCGGCGGGTGGGCAACCCAACGCACATCGCGGCGCTGGCTTGCCTTGCCGCGCGCCCGCGGGTAGGCAACCCAACGCGCGCGTTGGTTGGGCGGCCCGCCGCGAGGGGGCGCCACCGACAGTGCACCAGGCGCACTGGGAGCCCTTAGGCTGCCTTAGGCCCTCTGCTGTTTGGCGCCACCCAGCGCCCTTTTCAAATGGCAGCGCCGCCGCGGCGCGTTGATTTGCTGCAAAATTGGGCTTTTGGAGGGAAAAGGGAGAAGGGGGGGGGGGGGCGTCGAGTCGTGCCACACGTACATACTCATACGCGCGGTCACACTCACACTACAGTGGACATCAGCACACTCACACACGGACGCGCACACGGGGGTGTCTGTGTCTGTGTGACCCGGTTGATGACGGTGTTTTGGTGTTCCACTTGTGCGGCTGGACATCATCGCAAGACGCCACACTGGCAGCCGTCGCTCTGTCTCTCTCGCACCCTCGCGGAGAGCCCCGTGAGTGGGAGAGAGACGGAGCTAGCAGCGCGTGCCCGTGGCGTGCAGACCTAGGCGCGTTCCGCCCGTCGTTGCTGAAAACACGACTGACGCGCCGTTTTTTCGATCCGCGGCGAACGTCTTGTCTCTCCCGCACTGGAGGGGCGCCCCGCTTGCCCGCACGAGTGCGAGAGAGACAGAGCGAAGTCGGATGTGAACCGCTGGGGACGCGGGGGCCTCCTTGGCGTGCACATCCAGACGGACTGCCGCCGGGGAGGAAGTGGCACTGCAAAGAACTAACGAGCGGCAGTGGATTTAACTTCAACGAGTCGCAGGGAAGAAGTGGCGGCTGTCCCGTTCCGTTGGCTGTCGCGTGCGTGAGGGTCCAGGGCGCCCCGCCTCTCTCTCTCGCTCCCCTGTGGGGCGCCCCGCGAGTGCGAGAGAGACAGAGAGCGATCTGCAGTTGCAGCAGGGTGCTGCGCGGTGCTGCGCCTCGCTCCGGGCGGCCCGTTAGAGGCCAAGTCCCTCGCGCCGCCGCTGCACCGCACCGCTTTACGTAATGCTTATCACGCCGCGGACGCCTGTCTCTGTCGCGCATCCTCCCCACCCCGAGTCTGTGCGTCCGTCCGTCCGTCCGTCCGTCCGTCCCGGTCAAACGGCGGCCTGACGGCCCGGCCTGGCCGTGGCGATGCGGCCCCCGGTTCCGTCTCGCCGTGAGTGAGACAATCTGCCTCGTCGGCGAGGCGGCGCAACGCGGCGCAAGGCAAGTCGCGGTAGTACTCGCCCTGGAGTGTCGGTGTGTGTGTGGCCCGCAGTGCCCGCTGTGCCGCGACCCAGTGCCGTGCGACGGAGACGACCTGACCTAGTGCAGTGCGACAGAGACAAGCGACATGGACCCCGCCTACTCGCCGTCCGCGCCCCCGGCGATAAGCCGCGCCGACGTCGCGGCCGCCGCCAAGACCGTCATCGACGCCGTGCTCAGCGACTCGGGGGCCGCGACCTCGCCGTCGACCCCCGGGGCCTCCGGGACCTCCGGGTGCACGCGGAGCCAGACCGGGCCCTGCAGCCTGTGCATGAGCGTCCTGTGCCCCGGTGAGGACCATCTCTCTCGCACTCAAGGGGCGCCCGCCAAGGCGCGAGAGAGACAGAAACGGCTCAGTCTGCAGTGAGGATGGACCGAAAGTGCAATCCAAGCGACTCAGCGGTGGGCGTTGCTAGTGACAAGTGCACGGCGGTCAGGAAATTGACTTTTGGAAATGAGTTGAGAGGCCACGGTTTGCGTTAGATGCCACCTGGAGTTTTGTGAAACCCATCCCGGTGAAGAGACGCGCCTGGGAGTCCTGGAACGGGACGCCTTCCCGTCTGCCCGGCCCACAGTGGGCCAGAAGACCGGCCGAGGCGGCCGAAACCGGCCGAAACTGTTGACGCGTTTTGAGCTCCAGAGCCGCTTAGCAGAGCTCGAACCGAACGTGTGACCCCATCGATGGATTCCTCGTTCGGAGAGCAATCCATTGGTGGGGTCATAAGTTCGGTTCGAGTCCCATTTAGCGACTTCGGAGCTTAAAACGCGTCGAGAATTTTGGCCGCCTCCACCGGTCTTCTGGCCCACTGTGGGCCGGGTCGTTGACGGCCAGGTCCAGGCAGCCGGCAGAGTGGCACAGTGGCAGTCACGGGACGGGCAAAGTCCACACGCCGGCCCGGCAGGCCTCGCGGCCTCGCCCTTGCAGCGTAGGGACGACCTAACCTCGCCTCACTTGGCGGATGTGTGTCAGGTGGGCGACTGTACCCGCGGTTTACTTTGACAGCGCTAGCCTAGTGCTTGGCGTGCGCGATCTTGCGGCTCCCCCTTTTTTCGGCAGCATAATTGGCATTGATGGGCGACGACCAGACGCTAGTGCTGTGCTGCTGTCAGAGTGTTTTGTTGTTGCCGTGCGCCTCTGCGCCGCGGTACGCCCGGTGTAACCTCAACCGCGCGGCTCGGCGGCTCAAGGCCGCGGAATGGAGAGCGACGAGTACTGCCAAAAAAGAGAGAGAGAAAAACCCGGCGCCATTTTGGGAACTCACTCCGGGCTTAAAAGGGGGCGGAGAAAGATGAAGGCAATGCCGAATTTGGCCAGCCAAATTTTTCTCTTTTTCCTGTTTGTGATACTTGCTGACCCCTTAATTTCCTTAAAAAGTGAAATAAAGTACCGGATTACGTCATTGGGTATTTGAAGAAACCGTTTGTTATCTCGGCGGCCAGACTGGACGTGAAGTGGAGGAGGCACTTGTGGATGTGGTCCGCCGCAGTGCGCAGCAGTGCGGAGCCCTGATAGCGGTGGCTTGGTCGCGACAAGACAACCCTCTCAGGGTGGCGCCGAATCGGCACGTCACGCATTTTACCCGTTCCGCAGTGGACTTGGCAGAAGACCGGTCGAGGCGGCCAAAACTCTGGACGCGTTTTGAGCCTCAGAGTCGCTAAAAGAGACTCGAAGCGAACGTGTGACCCCACCAATGGATTGCTCTCCGGTCCATCGAGGCATTGGCCTTGTTATCACTTATCTGTCAGTGGCGAAGGCAAAGGCCTGCCGGGTTGCCTACAGTGCAGAGCCATTCCAGGAAGACGGAAAAAACAGTCGAACGTCAGTGAATGACACTTTGATTCATTGACGAAGAGGCACTGGTCTCGTCAAGAAATGTGATTTTTGCAACGCGTTGTGTCCGAGACGCAGCGCACTTCGACTCGCACCGAGGCGTCAATGAGTCAGAGCCAATATCGTCTCCGTGACCTTGTTCTCGTCCAACAAGCCAATTGCAATATGTGCATATTTTTTGGCGAATGGCGCAATGTGAATACGAATGTGCTCAGTGTCTCGGAGCGACGGCTGTGAGGATTGAGGGAACTTGGGACCCGCGGACACCCCCACTCCTTTCTTATCCTTCTCCTTCTCTAAATGATTCAGCGCAGTGTCTCTTGCGTGTCACTGTACGGGAAGGAGGAGAAGGAGAGAGAGAGGACTTTGCCTTGTTGCCCTGGTCGGGGGAGATAGCCTCTTCCGTGACCCGCTTTGACAATTAGAGGATGGGAATAGCAGTGGCCACTATGATGCAGTTTGAGGTGTCCAGTACCAATCCCGCACAGGAGACTTGTCTCTTTCAGCCATTTACCCTGAGTGTAAGCCGCCACTTCGTTAGCTCTTTTAACTGCATTTGGAAGCTTGTCTCTCACTGTTTTGTGTAATTGCATCTTTGCCACGAACCTTAACTCGGTGTGTTTGACTAACAGCTCTAACCTGTTCTGTTGCAGCCATCTGGTTCAACCCACAGAGGATGCACCCGCAAGGTGAGTTGCCTAACCACTTATCCAACTAGTTAGCTGTGATTGACGAATGGGGTGGGCTGAGCAATCGACGTCGGTCGCCAATTTCCCCGTCATCCACACTGATAAAGCAAGATTGAAATGTTAAAAGTGTCATTTTCCGGAACTAGGATAACACTTCACTAACGATTCACATATTGTAACAGCATCACTAAATTTGTTTAACAAAGACTTGGTAACTCTGTTAAAGTGACTAAATGAACGAAACTTGCGTTTCAGTCTTGCTTTGACGGCAGTGTGCGTGCAGTGGGGCCAGCCATTCCTTCACGTTCCCAGTCTCCCTCGGGATTGCTGCCGGGGGGTGAGGGTCCCATTCACGGGCGTCATGCGGGCAGGCTGATTATCCGCCGTCCGAGCAGAGCTCTCTCGCACTCGTGGGGGCGTTGCGCGGGGGTGCGAGAGAGACAGCGCGCCTTGCGGAGTCAGACCCCGAGGGCCTTCCCCCGTGCGTCGCCGCCGCCAACGAAATCGGCCGAAGGGCACCGAAAGGGGCGCAGGCATTCTTGGCTGCGGATCCTGCGGATAGTCGCCGTTATTGGCAGTGCGGCCGTGGGGCCATTCTTGGCATGGACGGCCACGGCGGCCACGGCCCGCAGCTGCAGCTGCACCAGGTCAGTGGCGGACCCTGGCCTGTGGCTGCAGTGGGTGCAGGGGTTAGGGGGTGCCTTGCTGCAGGGGCAAGGTGTGGCTTTTTGCCTACCTGGGACTGCCTCGCGCCAGGTGGAGGCCTGGCACGTGGCGCGCGTGCTGGTGGTGGTGGCCGTGCTGCTGTGGTGGACGGGGCGCCGACTGGCGGCATCGCGGCCTGCAGCGCGTCCTCCGGGACGTCCCCCGGGACTCGCGCCGCCCGCGCCGCGGCCCTCTCGCTCGCACCTGGCGGGCGGCGAGGCCGGCGAGGGGCAGCCGCCATGGCCGCCGCCGGCCGAGCACCCCGTCAAGGAGTCCAAGGCCACGGCGCCCAGGGCGCGCAGCAAGCTGAGGCTGCGCCGCTTCCTCCGCGCCGTGGAGGGCAACCGCAGGGAGTACGACGAGCTGATGGCGGTGTTCGAGCAGTACTACTCGTAGGTCGGTGGCCGCGGGTTCGACTACTGGCTTCTCAATTTCATTTTTTGCGCGAGTTTTAATCGGGGCTGTTTGATGAGGGCCCCGGGGGTGACTTTTACGGCTGGGGCTGTCGGAGGGGTGCGGTGCAGTATGCAAATGACACGAAAATTCTGGTCACGTCGGCGTGGTTGCTCGCGACGCGTTCGGCGGAGGGCTTGCACCCTTTAACGACCTCCAGCCCCCTGCACTGGAAGGGCGTGTCCAGCGTGGAGGGCCCCGTCGCCCCGTCTCTCTCGCACCTCTGCGGGAGGCCCCACGAGTGCGACAGAGACGGAGTGCCCCTGGAGCCCCAGGGCCTTGGGCGAGGGTGACGAGGCGGGGTTCCCGAGGACGGCCAAGGCAGCCGCCAAGGCCGGCGACGGACTGACGGACGGGAGGGCAGACAGGCGCCATCGCGGCCCTTAGGAACGGCGCGAACTTCCACATGGGCGGACCTTGGCGGGGAAAGGGCGAAAACACGTCCCTTTCCCTGCCTGCCGCCTGCGTCGCTCTGTCCCTCTCGCACCCCCACGGGCCCCACGGGGCGGCGCGCTAGTGCGACAAAGACGGGGCGACGCCTTGGGAATGAGTCTGCCCTTCGCGTGCAGCCCTCATTCTCGGCAGTAAAGCTGGAAGCCCTTCGGTCTGTTTACTGCCGGCGGTGACGTCATCAAGGACGCAGCCTTAAGGGCTGAAGGGGCCCGTCAGGGACGGCTTGAGGCTGTCGCGGCCCGGCCGACCGACCACTGGGTGCCCTGGTGTCAACCTGGTGTCACCATGGACGCAGGCTTGAACCCGGCGGCCAAGGCCTGTCTCGGTTGGGTTCGACTGTTCGAAATCCAGATCACCAGCGCGAGCGCCGCGCAGATTTTCCGCTCGTGGTGCGATGAACCCCCGCCCCACAGGCGCCCCCGGCTGCGTAAACAGACCCCCACCCTGGAGCGGCCCTCCCTGGAGGGGGCCCGCACTGTGGGGCTGCTGGAGTGGCGGTCCTTCCTGGAGGCCCCTCGAGAGGCCCAAGCACTGGGATTCTGGGGGAGGTCAATCAATGTTTTGGGTCACGGATCGGCGCAGCCTGGCCCAGGACCGGGGTCGCTGACCCTGGAGTGGCGGTGGCGCCAGGCCCAGCCGGTCCGGTGGCGCCGCGGTGTGGTGGTCCGCGGAAGCTCGCGGGACTCGCGGAAGCGAACCCCGCGGCGTCGCGACGCCGCGCTGCGCCGGTGGCGCCCTCGGACGGCGCGGCGCGGAAGCGGCGGCGCCGAGTGTGCCGTGGCTCCCCCGCCCCGCCCCGCCCGGGGTGCTCCTCTTCCTCTTCCCCCAGCTCGCGGCCCTCGCGGCCCTAGCGGCCCTCGCGGTTCGCGGGGTATTGATCGCGTCTCCGCCTCCCCTCGGGGCCGCCGCGGCCGCCCCTCGTCGTCGGGGCGTTCGGGGCGTTCGGCTGGCGCTCGGCCAGCTTGGCGTCGCTTCGGCTCGGCGTTCGGGGAGTCCTCGGACTGGCGGGAGAGCCTCGCCAGCGCGCGGCGTACGGCGTGTCCGTCCCTCGTACTTCGCGTTGGCTGCGGCGCTGCGCTAGCGCCAGTGGCTCTGCCAGTGGCTCTGCGGGCACGGGGCACGGCCTGTTCGACCAGTGTGGCGGTACCCGAGACTCCTGGGCACCCGACCGCCACCCGCCTGGCTGGCTCGCTGGCTGGTAAATTTAGCCCGTGACTGGGACTGTGCCAACGCTGGCCTGCAGTCCTTGCGGTGCCACCGGGACCTGGCCAGACGGACCGGGAGACCTGCCTTTTAGCCCTCCGAGTCCCGGGCGAGGGTGACGCGAGACTGCCCCGCTCCATGCGCGTCTTGTAGCTGGACAACCGAGGCCAGCGGACTGAGTGCTTGGCGCTGCGCGGCGCCGTGCTAGTGACACATTCCGGAGTTTGATCTGCACGCTGCTGGTCGACATGGAGCTCAAGCGGGAGGACTGTGAGTACCCTGGTCATTGTTTACCTGGAGTCCAGCGGGGCGTCGCGGGGGGAGGGGGGAGGTTGTCGTTCTGGTGCGTGGTGTTGCGGATCCGCGCTTCCGGGCCGAGCCGCGCCGCGGCGCCAGCGTCGCCGCCTTTGTTGCTGGAGGCAAGGGAGCCGAAGGGAACCGAAGGGAACGTCCCGCGGCCCTGGCCTCCTCCTGCAGGCCCTGCAGGCCCCGTCGCGCTACCTCCGTCGCACTCACGGCGCGCCCGGTGGGCTCGGCAGGGCTCGGCAGGGCCCGCGGGAGAGCGAGAGAGACAGACTGCTGGACCTGGACGGGGCGGGACGGCGGTTCGAAACCTGGCGCGTGTCCTTGTTGCTCCGGGGGTAGTTACTTCCGGTGTGGGTGGCAGCACTGCTCGCAGCACTGGCGGTCTGGGGCGGTGGAAGGAGTGGCATTTTGGTCGTGGGCTTTGTCTGCGCGACTGCGCGCTCACTGTCGCCCTGTCTCTCTCGCACTCGTGGGGCGTCCCGGCGTCCCCGTGTGGGTGCGAGAGAGGCAGGACGAAGGGCCGAGAGAGAAGCCCTGGTGGCGCCCACTTTTGAGTTTGTTTGCTGTTTCTCTTTCCTTCCCCGCGCTTCGCTCCAGCGCTCGTTTTGCGGTAACGCAGCCCCGCCCCTCCCCTCACTTTAGGAAGTTTTTTTCCCTCACCCTACCTGGGATTTATATTTTTATCTATCTTTATTTTGCGCAGATTTTGTAGCGTGCTGATTAAATGTGTGTGTGTCAATAGGACAACGCCTCGTTGTTCAGATTCGCCCATCTCAGGTTTTGCTGCCGGGTGTGCCCCGCCGGTCCACGTGCCCGCGTGCACCCCGTGCCTACACTGTTCGGCACTCGCGTCTCAACGTTAAAAGTCGCTGGCGGCAATCGACTCGAGATGAAGGAATTCCCTGCAGTCCTGTTTGGTCCCGGCCGAGACACGAAAAAAATTGCGATGGTCGTGTGCTTCGGCGGGACGCAGTGCACTCTGTCTCTCTCGCACCCATCCGTAAGGCCCCATGAGTGCGAGCGAGAGAGAGAGAGAGCGGTCGGCAGTGCAGCGCCGCAGGATGCAGGATGCGCTGGGGCTCTCCAGGGGACACCTGTCCATTACGCAACCCGGGCGTGGGAGCGCGTCGCGCTGTCTCTCTCGCACTCGTGGCTCGTCCTGCAGCGGCGCGAGAGAGACAGCGACGAAAGCACTGTTTTGGAATCGCGCAGACTGCAGTTTGGCTCCGACTCGCAGTGGCGGGGGCTGCTGTCGCCTTCAAACCGAATGCATGACTAATTTTTTTTGTACACTGTACCCCTACGTAAATCTGTTGTGTAATCTTTGGGCAGGCGACAGTATTTCGGAATTTTTTGCTCTAGATGGGCGAGCAGTTTGGCTGGCGATGACCCATGCACGGTCGCTCTGTCTCTCTCAACACTCGCGGGGCGTCGCGGCGTCGCGTATCGGTGCGAGAGAGACAGAGCGACTGGGGGTGGCAGGGCGAGGGGTGGCCGTGCCGTGGCCGTGCCTTGGGCGCGTTGGCCGAGGTCTGGGCGGCGTTGTGGCTTCGCGGCGTCGCGGCGAGGGGAGGTTTATCGAGTCGGTAATTGCCTGTTGAATTGGCGTGCTTTTGCGCTCGGACATGGCGGCGGGGCGGCGCCGTGTCGCAGCTCCCGAGGTGGCTGAACCCGTCAACCTGCACTGGGCACTGTCGCCCGCCGGCTCACTTTCGCTCTGTCCTTGTCCGAAACGGCGGTCACTTTTTGGCGTGGCTACGTCGATTGGGCCTGGCAACCGCCTCACAGTGGGCCAGGACACCGGCGTGGAGAAGGCCAAAACCCTAGACGCGTTTTGAGCCGCTGAACAGCACTCGAACGGTACGTGTGACCCCACCAAT